ATATATTCACGTGTACTGGTTACTACTTAGATTGAATATGCGCATGCCACTATATGTACTAGGTATCTATATAGTACTGTACTTGAACGGAATAACATTTATTCATTACTACCTCCTCCTCAATGGCAGTCAAGCTTTATCGACCTTCCGGAACGCCACGCACCCAGAACGCGGCATGGTATCTAAAGCACGCATCTTGATGTATGTAGTGCCGACGTGTATTTGGCATCACGCATTGCCCTTCCTCCATCCGCTTTGCCTTGCTTTTGCATTGGAGTTGCTTCCACACAAACAGTTGCGCTTGTAGCGGATAGACGTTGCTCAGTCGCGGTTAATAACCCTCAAACTCCTCCTCGGGTTCAGTAGCACCCCAAAGAAACTCGGCTCACCCGACAATTCCTCGACACTAGAGTTTGCCGTACTATTTCCCCCTATTGGCGCCTCCCCTGCCATGGGCAACGGTGGTACAGCGGTATATCCACTGCTTCCTGCTCCACTTCCCATCTTTCGACTGCTCTGATCAGTGCTATACTTATTTCTAGCACTTGAGCCTCCAGATGGCGTAGGAGCCAGGAAACTAGACTTCTCACCGCCTCCGGCAGCGGTGGCGCGTTGGGACATTGCAACGTGGTTCTTGTAGAGGGTAAGTTGACGGCGGTATACCCAGGCGCAAAAGCCAAGGTAGCCCGCTAACACTGCAAAACAGCCTGCGACTATCCCGGCGACGATGGCGCCGATGTTAGGGCCGCCTTTACCGTTGTTGCTGGCACTCGAGCCAGTGGTGGAGGCCGTGCCAGTCTCTGTGACCTCGGCACCATTGGAGCCGGTAATTGTGTATGTGATAGGCTTGCCGGTCGCTAGCGGTCCTGCTGTTGCACTTTCAGCTGGAGCGGTAACGGTTGCGCCACCACTGCCCTTGCCGCCAATGACTGACTGGACAGGGACCGGGACTTGGTATCCGTAGCTTCCTGAAAGACCAGAAATGTCTTTCTGCTGTGAAACCTGCTGATTTTGCGTGTCACCTCCAGTCAGGGGATTGTAGTTGTTCTGCCACTGCAGACTCGTTGCATTGAAGACGTAAAAACCGCTATCGCAGCCAAGCCCATTGGAAGGAGGACCAGTGTAGCCACCGACGACGATGATTTGGCCATTCCATATATTGCATGTATGCCCAGTGCGGCCCGGCGGTACGGATTGGCCTTTGGTGTCTACTTGGATCCAGGTAAAACTGGGGATTGTGAGGATCCACATGTCACTGTACTGCGTCTGGTTTCCATAAGGAATAAGATTTTGTCCGCCGAACATGTAGATGTTTGTGCTGGAACCATCAGGAGCCGAAAACGCAACGGCGCAAGGATTAACGCGGAGAATAGGATAAGCACCGGATGTTGATTGTCTATACCATGTTGAGCTGCCAACATCGTAGACATCTATTACGTTCATTTGCGTCTGAACGAGGTTTTACGTTAGCAGCGCAGCTGAAAATTGGAAATCGCACTGGGACTCACAAAGGACTCATTGGTTCCACCTGCCATGCTTACGAGGATGCCGTCGACGCCGTACCCAGGGACATATAAGATGACACCATCCGCTCTGTTCGGAAAGACTGCAGTATCTTGGATTCCACCCTGCGTTACGTTACGCCATACACCTCCACTACCAGCAGTACTGCCACCGCTAAGACTTTGTACACCATCGTTGCTATGGCCAGGAAATGTGAACTCCAAGAGAGATTTCAGGTAGATGCGATAAATCTGTTGTGACCATCCAGGTGTCGTATACGGATCTTGATGACCAGCAAAGTAGAATCCCCTACCTAGCTCAGGCACACTAACACCAGCACCCTCAGCAGATCCTAGAACAGGCTGATCACCACCGTCGCTATTATTGCCAGCAGAAGTTTGCGGATTCTGTGTTTCCGTCCACGTTGAGCTTGCTATATCGTATTGCCACAAGGAGTAAGGAGAGGGATTTGTAATTGGATCGCTCGAGTATTCACCGCCGTAGAGGTACAAGCTATCATACGAGTTCCAGAGGTAGCCATTTGATACTGGAGGCGGACCAGACGGCTGAGGAAGCCCTGCGATGACGGGTAATGCGATATCCCAAGACTTGGTTACATCTATCGTCAAAAAGTCGTTGTTCCAAGTGTCCGACATCTGATCGGCTGTAGTCGTGGTGTGCCCTCCGTAAAGATAGATTGTGCCATTGACGAGTGCACTCTGCTGGCTCCAGCGATTGCACACATTTGTGTCTGTAATAGCCTGCCGCGTCACCAATTTCCCGTCGACAAACTCTTTCTTCTGAGGCCCAGATCTCCTGATGGCACCCGCGTTTGCCCCTATTATGCTTGGTCCTGCTATTCCCAGAAGTGGTGTATCATACAGCAAGGGCATTGCCACCAGCAGTACTAATGCCAGCATCATAAGTCGCGATGAGGAAAATGCCCGCCACGAAGTCGTCCACTCGTTTTCGGATGTAGCGAATTCAAATTGATCCGAAGACTCTGACCCGTTGGGGGATATGGGTGACGCATCATCGCTCTGCAGTGAATCAAATGAATCTGGCTGATTGCGGAGCCGTTGTGTTGGGCGACTGGTGAGGGAATCTATGGCGGTCCTGTGCGCGTGACTAGTTTGGGCATCCAGCATCGTATCGACATCGAGCTCCTTGAACGCGGAGACTTTTGCACGACGTCTTCGACTTGCTGCATGTTCCGAAGATTGCTCGTTAGGAAACGATCGTGTGTAGGTATGGATCGGTCTTGCGCGTACTGAGGGCGCTTTTAACCCCAGGTATTCTGCTTCACTTGGGAGAGGTCGGTATGAGGTGGTATCACTGTCCATGGTCTAGGAGTACAACGGTGTGCGGTCTTCGATGGAGGCAGTAAGTAGCTGTCATTATCATAGGTTGTAGAAATAGAGGTTGGGCCTCCGTGGCTATCCTGATGCAATTTCGAGTTGCCCAGTACCTAGCGATGCCATGACCGGGGAAGAACCAAGGCAAACAGCGCTATAGCGAACGTAGTTTAGCGTACTGCTGCTATTGAAGGAAACCCTGCACGCGATTTCCCAATCAACGTTTAAAAGCCGGTGAATAGTCCGGCAGATCTTTATCTCTGCCAATTGCAGTTGAGTAGCATGATATAAAAGGAAAAGTCAACGATGGGAAACTTCCTGCTTACAGAAAAGATCAGCATTCCAGCGCCACCAGCCAGTTTTCACTCCCACTAAAGTCTTCTGCGCGATCGTAAATCGGAATTTCTTTGATTGCTGTCAAACGCCGACGTGTCTAAAATCTAGGAACCATTTTGGGTCCTAAATCTGCGCCTTCTAGAACAGAAATCTAGGCTTTCGTATCAACTGGGGCAATTGGCTGGTAGAAGCACGATGAGAAGCGTGTATCGAAGCAAATAATGCACATCAAAGTTATTATTAGGCGTTTGACCGGAGCATTAGATTCAATTTTGAACCTTCGATGCTACGAGAGATATTAAAGGGTTGTTGGACATTTGCTCCTGCTTGCCTCCTTCTACTTCAACAATCTGCCATTTGGTTTGTAAAGGATAGGCCCAATACAGTCTCATCCTCCCTCAGTCCTGAAAGCTTCACGCTCTCAACCCAAAGCTGCTTCTGCTTGGCCTCATCCCTCGCTAGCGTGAAGACTGTCTACGGTCTATTGTTCTTACTCGTAGGCCTGACAAAAATCCGTCTCGGTGAAATGATCCGCCGAACATCGATACTTGCCCACTTGTCTCCTCCACTTAACCTTACATTTCATCAAGCCACCGCCAATACGATTTCCAGGTACGCATCCGCTATACAGACTTCTACTTGTACTAATATATTTGAGTAGGATGGAACAGTCTTTCCCTCTAGTCCCGCGAGGCTCAACATCATTCGATTCTGCTCTGACTACACAAGAAAGACCTACAACTATAGCATATCCGAGTGCCCCTACTCCAGATGCCAGCCCAAAGCAAGTCCAAGAGTTCTTTGAACAATGTTTCCTCGCCCATAGAACACATTTGGGTGAGATAGAAGCAGAGAAAAAAGCAGCACTACTGGCGGAGAAACTTTGTATAGGTGGTATTGGCCTTTATATGTTGAGCAAGGAGACTCTCGTTGGACACTTTGGTGGTGAGGGAGAAGTTATTTATACTATTGTTCAATCTGGACAACTTGGTTATGTGAGTCGATACTCTATACATCATTTTCAGCTCCATTTATTAAGTTCTTAGTACAGGAAGGCGGCCCATGGCCTGCTCTCAAAGTTCTCTCAAAGATTTTCTTTCTGGTGGCGGGATGCAGTGGTGCATACCAATACGGCAAAGAATCCAAAGACAGGAACCTTATCGTCACAGTTGTATTCGAGGCCCTCAGCACTATCATCCTCGCCTTCCATAGATTCTGCTCTTCCGATAGAGTCGTCCTATCAAAACGCTTCTGGCCAGAAAACATCAAGATCCGAAATAAGACCGCAGCAGGGGTCCTGCCGTTTGTCCCCTGGTGAAGAAGCCTATGAAGACACGAGCAAATTCCGGAATGATATCAGGTTTCGGCGTCAGTTTCACCTAGACATAGATTAAGACAATGTCGTAAGAATAATCAATAGTCTTTCCACCACACCACATTTATGAGTCACATCATATTGATTCCTTAATAAATGATAGCAGTATCTGAAGATCTATATCTATAGATTAATAGGCTCTATATTAGACGTTTATATAAAGTCTATATTAATATCTAATAGTATAACGCTTTAAGTCGAATCTTTTATATACTTATTAATTATCGAGTATTATTTAATTAAGAATCTACGTTTAAATCGATTCTTTTAATAGATTTATTAATATTAGATATTACGAATATATAATATAACTATAGAATTCTATTATTTAAACGAGATTTATACTCTTTAACGCTACGATTAACGATATTTATACTTTCTTATAATTTTAAAATACTAGTCGAATTTCTATAAACTTTATATAAGTAATATTATATCGCTTCCTTACTAGGTTTCATTTTTGCACTCCCATTCAGATAAGCAGCTTTCGGATGCTTGCCCAGGGTTCCTTCTTCGAAACTGGAATTGAGAAGGTCTTTCGCCGATTTCTTTGGAGTGCGGAAGTTTCCATTTGGTGAGAGTATTGTGGTTACTACAGCAAGGGGAGCCAGCATCCAATGAAGCACAAATCGTAAAGCGGCAGGCGACTCCTTGAACAAGCCACTATCTCCCATTGCTCCCGGATCGACGGCAAGGACTGAAATGTCGGAGTACTTTGTGCCCGCGAGACGACGCTGAAGTTCGTACCTAGGACAAAGTCAGCGACAGCTAGACTGCTCTGACAGGTGCCATACATGAACATAACCATCAGAGTCTTGCTCATACCGTAGCGCCTCATGCCAGCTTTGTACTCATCACCCTTAGCGGCCTTGCTTGGAGGCTTCGCTAAAACTTGTGGGCCGCCCTCTGGAATGACTGTCTTGTGCTGTTCATTTGTGATGTGGCCACTGTTCACATAATAGGAAGGATCATGAGTCCAGCTGGAGACAACGACAATGCGGCCCTTTGGGTCCATGCTCTGGAGTAGCAGGTTGGTAAACAAGAAGTGTGAAAGGTAGTTGACAGCGAAACTAGCCTCCAGACCGTCATCGGTGCTTTCATGCCTCGAGTATCTGGATAATATATCCGGAGTCAGCAATGCCTATTTCAGGGGTATCCCGAAATTTACAACATGTTGTCTAGAGAGTAAGCCCTCCCAAGACATTTTCTCGAGGGTCGGGATTGAATCCGAAAAGGGGATAAGAACTCCCAAAATACGTACGCTGTAAAGCCGCATTAAGGACTACAGCACGAATGTGAGGAATCGAGCCAGACGCTACTCGCTGATTTAGATCTTTGGTGGCAGCGCGGACGCTGGCAAGAGTGCTAAGGTCTACGGCAATTATCTCATGATCGTTTGCGTTTGATGAACCGGCGAGAACTTTCTTGAGGGTGTCCGCTGAGGCAGGAATGCGGACCGCGAAGAGGCCTTTCTTGATTACGATTCCCCTGTCAGTATTGCTTATTTGAGAGGGTCCTCTGAGCCTTGAACCGTGTGTCGAGAGTAGACTCTCCCAATTTCATACATGTCTCAAGACTCAAGATTTTGCTTATAATATGAAACAGGGACACCGAAAATACGTACGTAGTCTTTGGCATAGGAGGATCTGAGAAATTGAGAGACGAGATTGGAACCAAGTCCCCAATTGGCGCCAGTAATGACGAATGTGCCTTTCATGTTGTGCAATGCTCAGACGAGTAGGCTTGGGACTAAACAAAGGAATGGTACAGGAGGACAGTGGTAGACGACCAGAGGTCGATCATGCAAGAAATACCACAGTTGTAAGAGGGCGAGAAATAAAGAGTCTATCAACCAGCAGCGGAACGTTCCCCAATGTTGGTAGAGTAAGGCCTACGAAGACGGTCACTGCAGGTCACATTCACATGCACTCAATAATTTTGTTCGACCTAGGTACCAGACGCGTTCAATTAGAATAGGTAGTGCTTACCGTCCGCCAAGCTATAAGATATGTCAAGTAATCTTACCTCAATCTCACACACTAATTAGAATATGGGGTTCAAGGACAGCAGGGTACTTAGGTAATTCTGAAGTAAGATGAATCTCTATTAATGAATCTCTATTAATATAATTTAGTCTTGAATGAATTACCTACGTTGACCTACCTCATGCTTTTCAGATCTACCTCACCACGCGGTTCCAAAAAAGCCTACACACCCCAAAATCTGCAAATCTACCACAACTTGTCAACGAGTGGTCATAACAAAAAGCTTCCGCTTCATGTGTTAAAGATCGCCGCAAAACATGTTTTGTAAAGACAATAATGATAGATTTATTTCAAAGAGTAAGGTAGAAGGATTGCTTGGCGTGTGCAGGCTTCTTTTTTACCCGCGAGCCTAGCAACGGGCTGGTGCCGCCAGAGAACGCCAAGCATGACATACATTAAGGTCGGCAGGGGTTTTTTCGTAATGGTCCATGTAGGCTAGTTATATAACAACGATACCATAAGCATTATTTGTAAACAAATATTCATTACAATATTTATCGTATCTACCCTGCAATTCTCTTACAAGATTTTCTCATATTAGGTATATTTCAATATCATGATATCGTAGCTTCAAAATCCTCCTGGGAGTCTCCTGAGAAAGCGAGTCTTCTATGAATATTTCCGTAAATACGAGTGCCAAGCCTCGTTTTCGGGATCTGGCTACTGTAAATTACATCCACGCTTTTTTATTTCTGACTTCAGATTTGAGCGATTTGGCTAAAGTTCTCGCGGGGGTGATATTCCCGGGATACTTACGGGTATGGTGGGGGGGTGTTGTAATGGGGTGTAGAGTGTGATGGGGTGGGGTAGAGTGTAAAGTATAGTGGAAAGGGTTGATAGTAAGCTAAGATGTAAATTACAGCTTAGTCATTAGTGGTAAGACTGAGAAGATCTTCTGATTTAGAGATCTTCTGAGCGACAAATCTTCTAAGATTTAAAAATACTCCTAGGATCTCTGTAAAATACGATCTTGTTTCACACTATAGCTACTTATACCCTATGTCTTGTAACCACGTTTCGAAATATTCTTCGCCTACAATCTTGCCAAGATTCTCCGGGGATGATTAGTAAAACCCCCCTGCCGACCTTAAAGTAAACAACGGCCGAGACTACCTAATCTACTCCTCTACTCCTCCCCAAAGCGCACGTTCGGTTGCCTTTTATGCACCCTGCTTCGGATATCGCATCGGCCGTGGGAACAAAGCGAATCCCAGCGGGGGGAGCTAAAGCATCGGCGATAATACCTACTTACCTTACATGACCAACTCGTCGCCAACGGCTATTCGGCCGAGGGAAGGATAATGGCAAAAAGATTGATAATCAACCACGCAAAGGCTTCATAAGTGACTTCTAAAACCGAGGACACCCCGGAGTTACTTCACAAAAAAACACACACACACACACACACACACACACATAAGGCTTCTCACGAATCTCAGCAGTCGCGTGCTCGCACCACCCACGGCTTCTCCACCCTGGCGCGTCCCCACGTACGCAAAATGACAAACTTCAACATCGCCATCACCTCGGACAACGTCTGCCCGTGGTGCTACGTCGGCAAGAAGAAGCTGGAACGCGGCATCTCCCTCTACAAGGCCGCGCATCCTGCCTCCGACGATAAATTCACGACGACATGGCTTCCGTTCTACCTGAACCCTGCCGCGCCCAAGACCGGCGTCAACAAGCGTTCTTACTACAAGTCGAGGTTCGGCGATGAGAAGGCGGCGATGATCATCGAGCGCTTGGCTGCCGTGGGCAAAGGTGCTGGTATCGATTTCAGCTTTGGAGGCAAGACTGGCAACACGAGGGACAGGTACGTCTATTTCCGAGCCGATCGCCCCTTTGTGGTATCGAGGTAGAGTCGCAAGACATGTTTCGGGAGCGAGAAGACCCTTCTACGCCGGAGACCTGTCTTGCAACTCCATTACCTACCTTGAACAAGCAATGCTGACTCCGAAACCCGCGTAAGTCACCGTCTGGTCGAGCTGGGGAAGACGAAGGGCGCAGAAATGCAGACGAGGGTTGTGGAGGAGTTGTTTAAGAGCTATTTCGAGGGAGAAGGAGATATCACGAGCCATGACATGCTGAAAGAGGCAGGTGTGAGGGCTGGCTTGAAAGAGGCGGAAGTGAAGAGTTGGTTAGAGAGCGATAAAGGAGGAGAGGAGGTGGACAAGGAGGTAGCAGAAGCGCAGACTCGCGGTGTGAGTGGGGTGCCGAACTTCGTGTTGCAGGGGAAGTACGAAATTGGTGGGGCACAGGATGCAGAGGCATTCGTGAAGGTGTTCGAGAGGGTGAAGGAGATGGAGGAGTCATAGTCTTGGAAATGAGGAGCTTTCTTTTGTCCATTGCTTCCCGGACACCCTCTCGTTGCGTTTAGCGAATCATCTCTTTACACACAAATCGCTTCTGATGACCCATTTCTCGCCCTTTCTGACGGTCTTTCCTTCGTGCAAGAGACAGTCCTGGCCGTGTTTGTGCAAAAGAGCCATGCCAACTTCTAGGTCAACAACGACAGGGTCTGTGTCAATGCCTTTCCCTGAAAACTTCTTTGCCGGGCCAAGCTCAGGGTAAAAGACCGTCTCCCCTCCAACACAGCCCGTTGTGGGTCCAGTGAGGTAGATAAGTAACGTCCAGGTTGTCCTTGCTGGGGTTGGCGGAGTAGACGAAAGAGTGATATTGTTTGACTCATCATCTGTGATTGGTCAGCGGACTCTACCACATGTTGCAAGCAAGTTGTTGTCGCTGAGCATAATAACGCTACATACAAACAGCCGTCTTCCTCGTATTCATATTTAAAAAAACATGCACCAAGATCAAAACCGGTCTGCTGCAAGCTCCACGATGCTGTCTGGGAGTGCCTACAGGACAAAGGCCACGACTGTCATGAGCCAAGGGAAAAGGTGGACCGGCCAAGACTGAAGTGGACGCTCCAAGTTGGGCGCACACGACCGAGGATCAAACACTATGTCCACTAGGTGGCTGTTTCAGATGAAGCTGTCGACTTGTCGCAGTCTATGTCACGGACGTGTCTCTGTGGAAAATATATAAGTTACGAACTATCTGAGCCTATGCGTGAAAAGCTTACCTGGAGACCATCTTCCCTCGAGAAGCTCTTCTCACAGACCGGGCAAGTGAAGAGATTCACCTTAAGATGCGTTCTCTGATGCCTTTTCAGGTCATGATTCCGCTTGAAACTCTGGGCACACTGATCGCACTTGAAGGGTCTCTCAGGTCTCTCAGGTCTCTCAAGATGTGTTCTCTGATGCCTTCTCAGATCATGATTTCGCTTGTAACTTCGGGAACACTGATCGCACTCGAATGGTCTCTTAAGGTGTGTTCTCTGATGCCTTTCCAGGTCACGATTGTGCTTGAAACTTTGGGGACACTGATCGCATTTGAAGGGTTTCTCACTAAGCTGTGCTGGTTGCGGATTCCCATCCATCTGTTGCTCCAGATGTGGTGCGCGGCCGCGATAGTAGCCAGCCTTTATTGCTTCCTGAAGATACTTTTCTGATATGTACGAAAGATCATTTTCTTGTTTGCTGACCGAATCCGTTGGATTGTTTGAGTTGTTCTCGATCGGTCCGCTCATGGGCCCTGTGAGAGTATGTGGAGCATGTGTGGAGCCGCCATTGAATGGATTCGACGGTGACGTGGGAGGGGACGAGGTTGCTGATTGAGCGTTGATAGGCGATATCCGAGACGCTTGTGGTGGTGGTGATGGGCTCATTGGGCTCTGCCGGACCGGCGATGATCAAGGGTAAGGCAAAGGACAGAAGAAGGTCACCCAGTTCCGAGGATCACTGGGCTGAACGTGACCGCCGAAGATGCAAAACCGACGGCTTGATTGAGATTTTGGAAGAAATGAACGCCTCACGCGAATCAAATGCAGGATATCAATGCGGTGGTGTTTGAACTAGGATATTTATGGTACATACAGTGCTGACCAAAAAATTGTCCCTGGCCTGGCGAAAGTCAACGATGCTAGGGGAAAGAGCGACGGACGAGAAACCTACCGTAGCGATAGATTCGGATACGTGGATTGAGACCACAGACTTGACCTCCCCAAATCTTCTTCGCTCCTTCATATGTAAGACCATTAGGTTCGACATTCTCTGCCGAGCCACTGATAAGGGATCTAAGTCCTGTAGAACCCCAAAGCTGTTCGGCAAAGGCAGGGTCATTGAATTGAATGCGGTCATTGAGCCTGATTGCTTCACCTTCTTTGGGTTTCGCAGGGGTAGTGATCAATGGAAGTGAAGACAAGAAAGAGACATATTTCTTGCACAGCGTTGAGGTAAAGAGATTGCGGATGAGAATGATCTGGTCCTCTAAAAGTGTTTCTAAAGCAAGATCTGTTGTAGGAATTAGTGGTTGTAGTGGAGGCCAACCAGGCGCGGTCTCCTGTTCTTCAGGTGGCCTTCGCGATGATTTAGTTGTGGTCTTTCGACGAGACCGCTGAGGCATCACTATGGGCAAGATAGAAGTGAAGCCAATGCGAAGATTCTACGCGTCTCGCAACTCACAGGGTTGTCACGAGTCATGACAGGAAGTAGCACTAGCGCCAATAGCTAGTGCGAACTCTTGGCTTTTTTGACGCACGATTTCCTGAAGAGGAACAGTAGTGAAAGAAAAGGAAGTAACAGCTGACACAACCTTCTGCCAGATTTCACGAACAACAAGAGCAAAGAAATCGTTCTAGGCATAGAATCATTTTTGAGACACGTTACAGCACCCAGGAAGATGCGAAGACGGCCTTAGCCATGGAGGAGGAACGCTCAGAGGGCGCCGCGCAGACTCAGCCAGTAATTCCACATCAAACCCTTGGGTCAGAATCACAAGACGCCATGTCAAACATTGGGGTCCAGGCAGTATCGATCCTCCAGCAAGTCGCACAAGAAGCCTCAAAAGCTGCGGAACAGCCCAACGGCTTCAATATCTATGAGGAGGAGAATGAATCACAGAATCCCTCAGCAAATTCTGTAAGGAACATACCAGAACAGGGCCTACAGCGCCTTCCGGACGACTATTCAACGATCTCCGCTTCTTTGGAAACGCCTACAGCCTCTCTCGCAGCGATTGCAGGTGACACAGCTACTGAGGGCGATGTTGGTTACAGCATAGTCCCATTCCCAGATCTCGAAGAAGGACAGCAGGCTCTTGACGACAACCCACTGTCCTGGGTGGGTGCTACAATCGGTGGTGGATCCTTTGGGGGTTCTCAGCAAAATGAGGCTTCATCTGGTGTAGAAACAGAACAGCACCAGATACAGGCTTTTGCGAAGCTCGAATTTGACGATGGGGAGTTCTACATGAACACATATGCGGTAGAGATTGGGAGAGATGTACATGCGGCTCGCCAGGCAGCTGATCTCCAGGCTCGTCAGGACACGGAAACAAAGTCTAGGAAACGAAGTGCAAGCGCGGGTGGTTCCATCACGTCAAGCAAGGTCAGCCATAGAAATGGCCAGAACATAGCAAGTAGCGCCCCCAGTGAGAGTGGGGGTGTCATAGCTGTCGATCATTACGAGAGTGAGCCTACGAGGAAGCCAAGGTCAAGAAAGCCCAAATCCTCGAGCTCGTCATCGCAGCAGCTGTCTCGAAAGTCCTCGATGCTACTTTCCAACGGTAAGACGGACTACACTGCTCTTGCCATGGCTTCGCTCATGGGCCATGACTCGGAAGCCAGTGGCTTCGGCCCCAATAGCCCATTGCCGGCTCCGGAATTGGTGCCCCTGGTACCAGTACACCCGCCAGCTTTACCAGAGGGAGCCCCTAGCGGCGGTAAAAGTATATCAAGGAAACACATTAGGATAGCCTACAACTTTGAAGAGAATGTTTTCGAGGTCAAAATCTTGGGCCGGAATGGAGGTTTTGTTGATGACGAGTGGTACGCTCAAGGGGATGTCCAGACTCTTATGAATGGAAGCATCATCCAGATTGGCGGAGTGGGAATACGCTTCGTGCTGCCTGATGTCGCCCCTGGTGAAACTGGTGCTGAAATAGGTCTGAGATCGGATCCGATGTCTGGTGGAGAAATGAGCTTCGATATGGCAGAGAGCATTGAGGATGAGAGTGATGTTGATCTTGACGAGGACGAAGAGCGCGGCCGTACGAGGAACATCAAAAATGAGGAAGAAGAGGAGGAGGAGGAGGAGGAAGAGGAAGATGAAGAGGAGCCAGAGGTGGTAAGAATAAGAGCCAAGGGTAAAAAGAAGTCTGAACCCGAACCAATGCCTGTGACGAAGCGCAAAGGTCCAGGCCGGCCGCCGAAGAACGGCATCATTTCAAAAAGAGAGCAGGCATTGTTGGCAAGACAGGCTCGGGAGGATGCCAAAGTTGTGGCAGATCGGGGTTCTGGAGCTCTACCTAATCGCGGTAAAGTAAAGGGTGGCAAAGATACTAAGGCCGTCAAGAAAGAAGAACCCTTACTGCAAGCAAACGGGAAGAGGAAATATACCAAACGAAAAAGAGCTGGAGGCACCGATGACCAACGAGGGGTTCGTGAAAGCACTGAGCAAACAGACTCGGTCCCACCAGAGCAATCCATCGCTGCAGTTTTACCCCCAAAACCTGCGAAAGAGAAGAAACCACCTAAGCCTCCAAGGTCCCCGTCTCCTGTCTTTGATGAGGCCACATTGACTCCAGAACAGCTCACCAAGCCAACACAGAACTACATTGTTCTGATTCATGAAGCCCTCTCGAACTCTGAGACTGGCGCCATGGCGCTGCCCCAGATCTATCGAGCCATGCAAAGAAGATACCCGTATTTCAAACTTCGTGCAACGACACTAGGATGGCAAAGTAGTGTTCGCCACAATCTCTCCCAGAACGCTGCTTTCCGTAAAATTGAGCGGGATGGCAAAGGTTGGATGTGGGGCTTGGTCCCCGGTGTTTCCATTGAGAGGGAGAAGAAAAGGAGGGCGACGCCGCCTCCAGTGTCACAGCAGCCTTACTACCCTCCAGGTCCGCCACCGATGCAGTATCCCTATTCGTATCCAAGCATGCCACCTCCGAATGGGCGTGTGCCGCCAAATCCTTACGGTATGCCTCCTGGCATTCCACCCGCCCATATGCCTCATGGACTACCTCCTCAAGGGCCGCATGGCTTTCCATTACCTCTGGTCAATGCGCAGAGCGAGTCGACTTACCAATCACCATATGGATCTAATCCGTCATCTCAACTATCATCAGCGCCCGCTCCTCAAACGCAACAAGACTCTAATACTAATGGCGCCAACGGTCACTACCCTAACCCCACATCGCAGCCTCGGGTGCAGGCACCTGACAAGGATCATGAGACATTTGGACCGGCGCCAAGTCCTTCGTACGCTCCCAACCAGCCGAAAACTGGAGCCTTGACTGGCTCATTGGGCGAGTCAAATAGCAATGCACATGGCCAAGACGTTTTTCAAGCCGTCGCCAGATACAAGAGCGACTTCATCGACGGGATGCCAGACAAGGCCAAAGCAGAATTTCTCGTCACGTCAGCCATTAACCGCACCCTCGGTATCTCAAACCCAAAGGATACTACTGCAGACGAAGCAGAAGATCCGCAGGTGAAGGCAATCATGAGCGAGATTGCGACAGTCTTGAGTGATCTCAGCAAGAAACGTATGGAGACTCAACGTCGAGCTTCCGATGCCATTCCGCCACCTTCGAAACCGAGCCCTGCGCCTACTGACAATGATGCTGCTTCGTCACTTCCAGCAGCAGCTTCAAAGGCTGCGGAGGGTGCGGTGAAGAGTTCTTTCGCGAATAGCGATGCTTATAGGCGGAATAGTACTGTCGGAAAAGAAGCTGCTGAAGACAAGGGCAGCGGTAAACGGCCATTCGAAAATGGAGACCGCGATGAAGTCACTGATAATGGTCAGCCAGAGGCAAAGAGGGTGGCTATCGAAGCGTAGACCGTTGACTTCGGACAAAAGTACCTCTCTTTGGCTTGCTCGGGGCTCTCTGCATGGGTTTAATGAGGACATCTTAGCGGTGGCATTTTACATGCATATGCATGGCACGGCGGCACGTTTTGTTATTGGCGGATACCCTGGACGTGAAAAATATGTAATTCATATAGATATAGCATAGTCTAACCAACTAGCTAACTAGAGAAAAAAAAATCCGAATCATACCATTGCCTTGTCCTATATTCCGAGGACTTGCCCAAACGCCTCTTGCACTCCCAACTCCAATCCTACTCGTAGCACGCCGCAATGCAATCAACGTATCGTAAATCAAGCAAGTCCGGCCTCTTTATCTCAATAGCCTCATACGGCGTCTAGGACCCATTCGGTTTTTGGACTTGCCCGGCGCTGCCTGCTCAGACTCACGGCCCATGCAACGGTCCATGAGAGCAGGGAAGGCTTGATTCCAGGACGAGAGTCAGAAGCATTATTGTAAGGGTATGCAATTACAACGATCGGACGGAAGTTGATCCCATTCCGGTCCCCCTTGGCTACCATGGGTTTCTCACATGGCCATCTCAGCCTGCAGCTTCCGCAACTCCTCCTCCTCGTCCTCTTCTTCCACCGGCGCTTTCGATTTGCCTTTGACTAAATAACAAAACACCTCGTCAGCAAAGGGTTTTTTCGTCTTCTTTCTTCGACAATCCATTGATAAGTGGTAATACTTACGTTCTCCATTCGCCGCTTTGGGCAACCGGTTCAGACTGTCCGCCACAGGTACCGTGCCCGTTCCCAGCATCTTTTCGTCGAGATTTTCCTGCTCTAGCGCCGCCAGATCGGCCTCCAGTTCATCCTCGTCGATAGGCTCCGTGATGGGCATCGAGGTGATGGCGTTGCCGATTTCTTGGGTGAGTTCGTGCTGTTCGCGCAGTTGTTCCCTACGGCCACGGTATCAGTATTGGCCCTTCCCTAAAAGGTTTGAAAAACCAAGTGAGACCCACATCGTCGTATCCACATCCTCCATGGTCATCTTGCCATGGATTTGTTTCATAGCGGCGCCGGCGTTCTTCATGGCGACGAGGGTTTCTTGGTTGATGTTTGCGGATTCGATGGAGTAGATTTGCTGCTCGAGCATGGAGATTTGGCCGTTGGTTTGTTCGAGGGAGTGCTCGTGTTGCTTCTTGCGTTTGAGGGCGTTGCGGGCAGCTAGGCACGGAAATATTAGCACGCGTCTACTACCATCCCCTTCTACCTCTTGATGGTGGTATATTAATCTACAATGCCCAGCAGATCGGCCACTCTGCGACAAATGGCTGCGTACCAGTCTTGTTCGTAGTGACATTTTCCCTCGCTATTTCGTCCTGCTTCGACATCTGATTCTCTAGATGTCTCTCTCTCTTCTGCAGCATATCGAGCTGCTGCCGCAGATCAAGTATAGCTTTCTTGGGTGCATCTTTCCTCTTCTGCCCGCCATTACCGCCGAACCAGGCTCCCCACATGTTGATCGCTCTTGTCGTTTGCTCGACTTCAGACCCAAGAGATCATCGGCCCTTCGCTATCGATTTCTGGTGCGTCAAGGTCCTGGTGGAGGGCAGGTGTCGTAGAGAAGGTGCTTAGGTTCGATGATCAGGCTTATCCGATGACCTGTAGATTGGGGGCAAGAGGGCCACAGTCGCTTCAGGGTATGAATGAGCCTGAATCAATAGGGGGGAAATTGAGAGACGCGTGTATGGTGATCTAGACTTAGGGAGTTATTCTTTGCTGCCTTGTGTGGGTGTGGGGAATGGGAAAGTCAGGCTTCTCAAAGCATTTGTCTATGACATCGGCGCTAACCCATGTCTAGCACATCACGTGACAGTGTCTCGAAGCGCGAGCCGGGAGCACTGACTCCAACCCCTTTGCATACGCGTCGCATAGCACGCACCATGGTCTGAAGCTCAACAGTATGGGCTCTGTAACGCCCACATCCATGTATCGTTCTTTCGACCTCTCAATGAAACCATGAACAACGGGCCCCTCCCCACCCGCATCGTCTTCCTCTCGGACCTCCCCACTCAAGCCCACGGCACCAAAGTCCGTTTCCTGGGCTGCGTAACGCGATACACCTTCTCCACTGGTGTACTAGAACTACAGCATGCCTATCATCTTCCTCCAAACCAACCCACTGTTGCTTTGGTGGACGTCAATGTGATTTTGGAAGGCTTGGAGAGAGAAGACACGCAAGTGGGGGCTTGGGTCAATGTTCTGGGCTACGTGGAGGAGGTGCTGGAGGAGGGGAAGAGAGAACGAGGGCAAGGGAAGGGGAAGACGGGGTTAGCAAAGAGGAAGGGGGATAGGATACGGGAAGGGCCAAGAGCGGGGAGAGTGAGGGTGCGGGCGGTTGTGCTATGGAGCGCAGGGGGAGTGAAGATTGGGGAGTATGAGAGGACTCTGGAGGAGAGGCTGGAACTGGACAAGGGATCTCGAGAGGGTGATGCTTAAGGAGCCAATCGATACCTGCATCAGAAACCCCGAGGTGGCTTTCCATGAGGCCATCGTTTAGTGAACTGGTAGGGTCAGAAGCGAATGCCTCCAGAGATCCCCTTTGATGGCGGCTTCCCCTTTGAGGCGTATCAGCGGCACCATGCTTCTTGACATGAGAGCATTGATTATACCGCGAAGAAGACAAATATACGCCTTAAAAGATAAATATAAAACCCAGAGAATTGACAAAGGTCGAAAATCTTCAAACAGTTGAATACCACAGGCTGTTCGTGATGCATTATGAATAATTCTCCACGTCCTTGAAGGCTGGGTTTGGAGTACATGTACAACTAGAGGACCATTCCTTTTCTTCGTAAGTCTCAAACGCCGTGGAATACCTTTTTGTTGTTCCTTCAATAAAGAACCTCTGAGATTCATGCAATCGCTTCGCGAAGCAACTGTCATGTGAAATATTTCTATACAGACGCCATCATGCCAGAGAATGGTAGTCATAAATCTTGATATTCACCTGCCACCAGTCCCTCATGTACAATTGACAGTGGTGTCATTGGCACAGAAAAGCCCTGTAGTAGGCTCTATACGTCTCAAGAATCACTCTCTTAACTGCAATGAAACCCATCAATCACCGGTTCCTCTGGCTCAGAGTACGATGCTGAAAAGCTACCTTCTCTGTCCAGCCATTACCTGCTGACCATTTGGCATGCCCATGCCGTATGGATGTGCGTGAGCATTAAAATCTTGCTGTTGTTGGAAGTAGCCACCGAGGCCCTGGCTTTGGGATACCGGACAATCTTTGTGTTGCAGAAGTAGAGTTTTGAGTCCCACAATCTCCTCACGCAGGGAAGACACCTGCGCAGAAAGCGAGTCATTCTCACTGCTGAAGATTTCGACCTTGGCTTGCAAATTGGCAAGCCATTGCTTCTTGCGCTGTCTGCACTTCAATGCTGCCACCCTATGATAACGTTAGATGGTTGGAATGTCAGAGAAATACAATATTACGGACCTATTTCTCTCGAGAAAATTCTTCCGCTTCTCTTCATCGGTCATTTTCTTTCCGTCTGGGTGGTATTGTTCTTCTTTGATGTTCGGTTGCTCTTCTTCCGAATCCATGCCATCTATATCCATCATTGAAGTGTTATGGTTCTTCTTTTGTTTCTTGGCAGACGGCTGCTTTGGTGGAGTATCATCTGCTTTTCGTCTCCCATTGTTTGGTGCAGCATTTGCACCAGCGGAGGCGCGTTTAGCCCTATTTCTCGTAGTAGGTTTGCTTTGGTCGCCACTGTCAGAGATATCCCCACTCATCTCACTCTGGCCTCCTATTGAACCATTGCCATTACGCGCTCCTTTGGACATGTTTGGCGACGTTTCGTGGGATCGGTTGCTTGTCATAGTGTTGTTCGTGTTGGGAATGGCGTATTGGTGGTTAGCTTGCGCTCCATTGCCAGCTTGGGCAAGCAGGAACAAGCCATTTGCGGCATCGTTGTCGTGCTGGCCAAAGGTCGGCTGTTGGGGCTGTTGTTGCAGTGACGGATCCATAGGTGCGACAGGTGCCCGCTGGTCTTCTGCTTGTGTGTTTGAACCGTTTGTGTGATTGCCTTTTCGCGCCGCCGCAGCGTTCATGGCCGTTCGGTGGAAATCTAGTGTGTTTGGAGTAGCACCACCATTGGCGAGCTGTTGAAATAGGGCCTGTGAATTCGGACTGGGCGCTGGGAACATAGACCCTCCACCACCAGGTGTAAGGCCCGTGCGAAGTGACGATTCGTTGGGTGTCACGCCCGAAGGAAAACTTCCTCTTAGCGATGGGTCGAAGTAATCATTTGGCGCAGCGCCGACAGGTCCACCAAGCATAGCAGGACTCAGTGGCCCGGATCGTAACGAGCCTGGCCAATTATATCCACCTGCAGACGGACCGTCTCCACCCAGCGGCGCTGGTGACGTTAAAGCTGCGACAGGTGGCAACAATGACTTATTCGCGGGGAGCTCTGACGATGGGTTGCCGAAGGATTGATCGAAGGGGTTGGGTTCACGAGAGAAATGACTGTTGGTGTGGCCTCCTGAAAAATAATCGACGCCTTCCTCTGCGTTCTGATGTGTTGGCCCGGGTCGTGGTGGGGGAGCAAGTGGCTGTGCCGTCTCAGCATTGGATATGGGCTTGATGTCTTTGCTATCGGCCTGATCAGGAGGCTCTTTGACCGTTGGAGGAGGATCTGATGAAAGGTGAGCAATGATGGCGACGATTAGGGTTGCCAATGTCGGCGCATTGATGGAGTTTAGACGTACCCGATCGCGGCGGCGTAATCTTGACAGACGAGTGTGGATTTGAATCGAGTTGAGATGTATCTATGCATAACATGTGTTAGTCATGTGATATCCATGATTCCCTGGGACTCGATAAGTCGATCAATATGACGAGGTAAGTATTGGCCGAGGAAGCGCGTAGTACCAAAAAGAAGCCCGGAGACAGGACAGCTCAGGCAGAGTGGTGAGAAAGGATCAAAGTAGCAAAGTGGCGGCGATATTGCGACGAACCTTCAATTTTGATGACGCCCTTCTTGCTATCCATGGGCGAATGAGTGTTTGTGACGGAACGTGGCATGTGGTTCTGGGAGTTCCTTTGGGCGACGGTAACTGACATATTCTGGCGATGATGACGAAATCGGGAGAAATTGGGGGGCAAGACCCTTGTTCTTGTTACTCGAGCCGAGGGAATAGGAATTGTGCAATTAGTGAGAGCGGATCTGCAGAAGAGACTTGGGGCCCTGGGGGGGGGGACAATGGGTAGGGGTATATTTTGGGGTAGGGCGTTTATGCGTTTATGGCTTGAGTGTGTGCTTTGAATTCTTGCAAGATGACGTTGTTGCTGTCTTTGCACAAAATAACCATGACGAAGATTTCAGAGGATGGGGGGCGCCCAGATACGAGACGGCCTTCACCCAGTTACTATATTTTCCACCCTATCCTCCATCGGGCTAGTAGCCATAACACGTGATCATTGGCAGAAGCCCGAGGGGCCCCTCGGGCCTAGCCAATCACTCCTTCATCTCACCAATCCAACTTTTCCCGCTTGGACGTACCAGGCTCGCTGCAAGACAAATCATCACCATAAGATCAAATGGCGGTACGGATCTGGGTCTTCCTCATTGGGAAACCAATTTGCTTAGGCTGCTTTTGCATATCCGATGCCACTCGTTTCCGCTTGACACCCAGGATTTGACAGAATTAAATGATGCCAATGGTGCTAACATTGACGACTGCGTGACGACTGCTTTTCTTTCTTTCTGACAGCTTGCCTGGTTTTTCGTCAACCTCTTGCTTTGCAGCCAGGGAAGACGATATGAAAGACGAAAGTTATATCTTACAGCTTGTCCATCTCTAGGAGGCGCCAAGTTGTCCTCAAGCAACATGAAGGCGTCAACTCGAGTCGGTCAACTCGAGTCAGAAATTCATCAGAAATTCACTTTCCCATTCCAACGGTATCAATTATCATGACAAGTACGACCTCAACGGTATCAACCATCACAACAATCTATGTGTACTGACTCAGAGAACGACCAAATACCCAAACTCTCCTCACCTTCTCCCCAACCGCTCTCGCTCTATACATCAACCCAGTGTCTCCTCACCCTTGCCGTAATTGCTCTCTTTGTCGAAATTAGCTCAGTGTTGATGAGTCAATCCTATCGAGGCCTGATGTCAAGGCTCTTCTCCCTGAGTATCTCTGCCATAGACATGCCCGGATTTTCCTGCAGCAATCTCAATCGCATTTGACGAAAGGCTTCCAGGCACTGGGTCAGCTCGGCCTCCACAACACTGATGCCTGATGGACGGAAAGGGCGTGTCGCCTTTCTCATTAGCGTGAAAAAGTTGTTTTGCAGTATCATCTGAATTTCGCGGCCTTCCTCTCCTTGGAACGTCCCGGCATCAATCATGGTTTGTACCAGTTCCATCAATTCAAGAATCATTTCGAGCACCCAGTCTATCTCTTCTGGATCCTCCTTGCTGAAAATGGTAGAGTCGAATTTACCGTTTCTGCTTGCCTTGAGAGCTTGTTGGATGATATCTCTCAGCACACTTTCTTGTATGCGAAGCTGTATCGTCTTCAACGGACACTCTCTAGGGATTCTTAAAACCTTGTTGCAGTTGAACCTTCGGGTATCTGCCTCCAAGTTGAGACCCCTGATGTCGTCATCATCACAGAGAGAATCCTCGTCCTCACTGTCTTCGAAGTCAGCGGCGCAGAGTGTCCTGTGGGCCCTTACTACTGTTGAAGCAATATCTTCGCTGTCGTAATTTCCACGGAGCGTATCTTCGCTGTTCATGTCGTCGAAATCAGTGGCGCGAAGGCCCCCGTCTCTGGGGCGGTCGTCATCGTAACTCACTCGAGACTGGCGTTGGATGTACCACTCCTCTCCGTGCTTAACATAGCTAGACATTTTGCTGTGTTCGGCTTTTGTGGCTTCCGAATACGCCTCAGTGTCTGTGCTCTCGACCCGTCCGTATGCTGCACGTAAGTTCGAGTATGCATTTGACCGAGGTCTAGTCGATCGAAGGGTCCGTACAACAGCACTTTGCGGCCTTGGGGGAGAGGCAGTGGGGACGACCAGCTGTACGGTGTGAGCAGGCCCCTTACGGTATGCAATATCTGTTGCCCGATGATGCGCGATGAGGACTTCATTCATATACGGTAGATCAGCGTTGCTCCTAATCATAATGGGGCCGGCGTTGATTTCTAGACGCATGTTGAACACGAAAGATTTGGAATGGGTGGTAAAGGGGTTTGGTCCGACGGGAATTGTGGTATGTGTTCTGGCTCAAGTCCCATTTATCTAAAAAGTCGTCCTTGTGCTCTTCTTGCTTAGTCGCCTTTCTTCAGTATGTGGATAATGCCATTGTGTCTCGTACAAAGACACCACCGGTATCCTACCAACAAAGACTTCGAACCAAGTCTACAAAGAGAAGACGCGAGTATCTAACAAAGGGCATGGGCATGGTGCAAGAAACGTCAGCTTCTCCGTCGAGACCCGGGTTTGGGGTGATTGCCAGATTTGCTGCCGAATTACAGCGGCCATCCACTATGTAGGTCTTGTTAACCTGATGCAAGATCGCTGGCTGTGAGCCCAGATATTGCGGCGGAAATGATCTGTTCAGTAACAGAGTCCTTACTACTGTGGGGCGCAGTTTCTGCAAGTGTCACAATTTGTGATAATCACGACAGTGTTCATGTCACAAGATGGGTCCTGCCACATGAAAAGTGGGCCTGGGGTGCTGCATCTATCTTGATGCGCAGCTGAAAACCAATTCGCCACTGACCCAATCGATTGAGAGCTTTAAGCGCCTTGTGGTGCAACCTCACATCAATAGCAGTTGAGAATGGTTGATGTTGTGTGAGAGTTCGCGATGAAGGACCCAAGCTTCACCTAGAGCTATGACTATGTTGTAGGAGACTCTTGCTCATGGTAAGAAAGTTTATTGTTCCTGGTCCATAGCTCAGCGTAATGTCTACCCTGGACAAAGACAGCACCGTGATCAAAGGATCTGAAGACAAAGCCATGTATGAAGCCAGTATGGAAGAACGTGGATAACTCCGGCTTGTCATACATGTTTCGTTTCTCTTACTTTCCCTCTCTTTCTCAGCATCTGTTCCCTACCTTCTAACCCCTCAGCACCGAATCGCTGAGCGAGAGCATCAACACACAGTTCCCAATAACAATTCTTCAACATGGGCTGCGTCCCTTCTCGTCCGAGCAATGGCCGTTTCGACGACGGCGGATCCTTTTACCACGGTCCCAGATATCCACAAGTGCCTCCTGGGCAAATACCCCAAGACTGCGACAGTTGCACACCCGTGAACAGGAAATTCCAGCAAAAATGCAGCAAAGAATGCACGGCAACACGGCGAAGTAACTTGAGATCCAAGTGGAACCCGAACAACCATCCAAGGAGACACTCCTGGGAGGTCTACGAGGAAGAGACGCCATGGCAGTAGAGGTTGATGGGAGGCCAATGGTGTGGCTTGACGTTTGACACTTAGAGCGGTGCTCGAATTTATCAACCCACGCAATTTACCCACTGATGCAATACTAATAGTAAGCTACACATTCACAAATGATCGACCCAGCTGTATCTGTCCCAAGAATAACCCTGACCGGAATATTTCGCGTCAGATTATGATTTCTAAAACAATTCAAACGCCTTCGTCTGCAAAATGATTTCTTCAAAATCACCTGTTGTGGAGCTAGAACAAACAAAATGCAATAAGTGGGCAAACACGGGTATGTCTAAGTCTGCGATTGAGCCCAAGTCGAGCGTGAAAGTATACTTCTCTTTTCTAACATTGTGCCAAAAAGTTCCACCATCGCAGACTTGATCGAATTCCATATCGCCACGTCATCAGGGCTCAGCGAGCATTCATCTCCGTCCTCTGTCCTAAGCAATGCATGGCCTCTACCGCCCAATCTAGTCAAACCGACCTTGGGCATACTTTCCATGGAGCAGGACCCATCCGGTGACATTTGCAAAGACTGCGTCCCAAATGGGCAAAGGCGGCCCGTCCTTGCCTTTGACGGTTGTAGTATTGTCTCCTTTGTTACCCTTTGTGGGGGTTATGAACAGCATCACTTTCCTTCGAGGTTCAACCAGTTCGTTTACCGTGAGACAGAGCAAGATGGTGAAGCATGCTCTCACTCGGCATCCTCCGCTCCAAAGACCCTTAACCTTCATTGCTGGTCTCGCCTTTCACGAGGCTCTTTTCTTTTCTCCCCCCCTTAGAAATCGATACGGGAGTCTCTTCAAAAGCTACGGACGTCCGCTAGATTCCTCACAATTCACACATCAAGAACCTCGAAAAAGATGAATCAGTATAGCTTCACAACACACAACCAATCCACCCTCCACCATGCTTCCCACCCTCCTCCTCTCCACCAACCGCCTAACTCTCGCCCACCCCACCACCAGCCGTCTCCAACCCCGCCAAACAACCTACGTCCAAGCCAACCTAATCTTCACCCCCTTCACCGGCCCCGGCCCTCGCCTCCGAGACCTCCGATCCCCCAATCGACGTCCGATACGGCCTCGACAACGCCGCGCCCATGCGCTCTCACGCCCTCAACCGCACCCACCTCGCCAACGAACTGCTCGACTCCAGCACCTCCGTCTCCGGCGAGGCGGACGAGGACTTCGACGTTGCGATTTCCGGCGGGCCCGGGTCGGAGTGCACGGTGCGGCTGGGGCGGGCGAACGCGACGGAGAGGCTGGCGGGGTGTCACACGCTGGAAGCTCATCCGTCCGCGGAGTGTTTTCGGCCGTGGAGGCCTGGGCTGGATCCGGAGTTCGCTTCGGTGGTGGCTTCGCAGTCGTAGATGGATGGGGCTGCTGGTGACGAGCCTGGGCGCATGCTTATCTGGTGGGCTGAGAAAAGGGACGTGATAGAGCATAGGTGGGCGAAATGTTGGCGAGGGAGGTGTGCGGTGTGTTTCTGGAGGTCTCAGAAGAAGACTCGGAGGGAAAAGAGAGAGAGGCGGTGTGGTCTTGCTCGTACTGTTCGTGTGTTTCGTGGCAGCCGGTTCGGTTCCACCCTTGGAGTAGACGAACCTTTGTCAATCGATTTTGGCGTCAGGTTCGTTCATAAGTGAATGCGACATTCTTTGTCCGGGGGACCAATGCTCTCAAAGCGAGATTGGCTTCTCGGATCAAAGACGATGAACGCTTTATTTAGCACTCCGCGTTTTTGGAAGAAACCTTTGATAGCCCAAGAAACTATCTATATAGTCGCCTCTCCTCCGTTTTCTCTTGCATTAGCACTTCCGTCCCCATACTCAATTTTTCCTACCCTGAACCTATCCCCGAATCTGTCCAGAATCATCTTTTTGAACTCCTTAACGCTATCCACCATGACAACCCAAAACCGAGCCGCCCTAATGCTATCGAGCCTTAAAAAGACTATTATCGAAGTCTCTGGAAGCTACAGCAACCGAGGATCTGGCTACTACGATGCGCCTCCCGTCGAGGACAAAACACCTTTGGTTCAAGACCTGGAAGAGATGATTGTCTCACCGTTGACGACGAAGGACGAGAAGGTCGTGCTGATAGATACGTTGATGGTGGTGAGAGTGTTGCAGAGATTGAAGGAGGAGGAATGGTCGGACAGGTTGAAGGAGGTTTTTGAAAAGGGTGACAAGGAACACAGCCGGAGGAGGTGACTGTGTGGGAGTATATTCGGTCTGTCGTTATCGATAGAAAGTTTTCCAACATCGCTTTGAATCTTTTTTGGTAGCTTGGGAATAAACAACTTGTATTGAGAGCAGTATGTGACTTTACTGGGGGCGCCGGCTGTTGCCTCTTTGTGTGCCACTCGGAACCACGCGTAAGCCGATTGGCTCTGGTACAACGGTATGGATTGTATAACACAAATATCAACCACATCAATCAATGACCATAAGGTCTTCCCCTATGCACACAAGCGGATGAGATTGCGTTCATCATACACAGGCCAGCAAGCGCATCACCGCAAGCAACAACCCAGATTCAGAAGCCTGTATACTCCTCCAAAGCTACACTATTACAGCTCACTGAGTGGACGACCAGTAGCCAGCAACATCGAACATGGATGGGAAGGAAAGCCTCACGCAGAAATCTCGCAGAAGTGAAGCTGCTCACGTCGCTATCGCAATGTTGAAAGCAGCAATTATCCAAGCTTGCTACGAGAATCATTGGAGAGACGGAGCTTTCTGGAGTATCAGGCATTCCTCGTCGGACGTGGACAACGATCTGGAGCGACTGGAGGGGTCCATGAAGACCACCGAAGCTGAAAAGGCCATCTTCAAGGACACACGTTCGAAGGTTGCGGATATGCGCGCATACTTGGAAGGTCGTCCAACAAATCTGTCTAGTGTAGACGATTTGGACTGGGTAAAGAGATTGAAGAGTGTGTTCGAGAGCCAAGTCGGAGAGGTACTAGAAGCAGGGGAGGTGTCGACTGTGCAGAAGAATGGGCCTAATAGGAAGCCGGCGTTAAGCAGGAAAGGAGACGAGGATGATGGCTTCGAAAGTCAAAAGGTTTATGGTGGTTCGGGTGGCTCGCCGAAGTATTGATGTCGGAGAGACGGCCAACGATGATGTGGATGACTCGTATGCGCAGAAGCTTCTATGCAACCAGTAGACACACGCCTTTGTATCATCGGGCCTTGTTGTCTATGTTTAAAATCTCATGAACGAGGCTCGAATTTGAAAAGTAGGCGCTCCCATAGCCAGATTCCCACTGTACTCGTAACAGGTCGAAGCAGCTTCCAATAGATCCATAGTTGCAGTGGTCTAAGGCCCACTCAGTAAAGTAGGGTGTAGAATTTCTTCCTCGGAGCTTTGATGAAAGCGGTCAATTGGCGAGGGACCTTCCGTTTCGTCATCTTTGTAGATGAGTGTAGTCAGGTTGCCGGTGTTCGGGCTGGAGATTGTAAAGCAGCGACGAAGTCACGAACACTCTTTCTGTTGGGCAAGGGGAAAAGGGAAATAAATCAATTGGAGGACGAATAGTTGCTTCGCGTCTGGAGTAATAGACGCGCTCGACACGCTAGTTGGTTTAGCGGCAAAGTCTGCGGTCTCCCTCTCACTCTCTTGAAGTGGAGTCTGTTGACAGAAAATAGAGGAACCTCGCATGAGCTTTGCAATCCCTACTTGTGATGTAACGCCAACTGGCTCACCTATCTGTAAGGAGGTTTCCAAGAGTTAAGAAAGAGCACAGGCCGTGGTTGACCGAAATTTACCCCTCAACCGACAACCGCCCATCTCCTAACTTCCAAATGCCTCCTAAGCTCTTTCTTTCCTGCTCTTTCTTTCCTGCTCTTTCTTCCATTCTTAGTCCATCAAATGTCTCAGCAACGTGTTTATTGTGGTTGTTGTGGACTTTTGTGGTTCTGCACGGACGCATACACCAACGTTTCCTTATTGCATGGCTTCAAGCAGATTACACTGCTATTGGAAAGCTTCGCCGCTTGAAGCACACGCCAGTCGTCTTCCGAGTCCAAGGCCATAGGTTCCATTAGATGCTCTCAGCTGATTGGGGAGACTTGTGGCCTTTCCGACCTTGTTAGTGTTGGGACTTCGCGTGTCTGCGCTATCGCAAGGCCTATTCTTACCGATCACGCGCTTGAGCCGCGCTCATTGTATGGCGGCTTCACCAAGGCAATATGCGGGGGAAGCCACTATATAAGGTAAAGCGTTCTTCTACTTGTACTTTTCCATAAGTACCTTGCTAACAGAGATAACCACCTCTTGAAACTCACGTCAAGGCTCAAGATGTATCGATATGTTGCTCTCTCACTTGCAATGGCAGCTACTAGCATGGCGCAGATACCAACGAATCTCACGTTTCACGAGTTGACCACGCAATATTTACCATTCATCTCCCTCAACACCGCCTACATCTTCAATGATACAAGAGCCTCCCAGCAACTGGCTAACGCAGTAGACAATCCTGTGACTATTTTCTTGTCTCTCAATACTCCCTTTCAACAATTTGAAGCTACACCACCGCCAAGCGGTGCAGCCGGACAGATCGAAGCCGCCAGCGTAACAAGCGCAGCATTGAACAGCGATCTATTTCAGTATCTCCAACTGGATGGCCTCCATCGTTCTACGTCCTTTAACGGGACATCCTTCATGAGGACTCGCTTCAACGACACGCAGTATGAGCACGTCACTGCAGGACAGAATATCGAGGTGTTTCGCAACGAGACCGCGTTCTACGTTGGAACGGGCATTGGATTCAAGTCCAATGTCCTCATACCCGCACGTATCTCAATGAGCACAGTGAGGTCGCACCGCTGACAAGACACAGGATCTCGATTTTGCTGGTGGTATCATTCATATCGTAGATCACCCAATGGCGCCGCCATATTCCCTTGGAAACACTGGCACTGTCCTGAGCATCGATGCTATCGCAGGTATCATTCAAGCGAGCGAGAAAGGTCCTAGTCCTAGCTTCCTCCCCAATATTCAGAACTCTGGCGATGTCACAGTCTTTGCGCCCCAGAACTCAGCTCTTAACAATATTTCGATTGCCTCGCCTCAAATCGCCGGAAACTTCGTTGTTTCTGGACCGGTACTATACTCTACTGCCTTGACTGCTGGGACAAACTTTCTCACAACTGGAAAGACGAGGCTTTTCGTCACCACCAACGCAAATGGGGCAATCTTTGTCAATGGATCACGTATCATCGAATCTGACATACTCACTGCGAACGGTGTTGTGCACGTTATTGAGAGGTAAGAACCCTTCCCATGCAATAGCATTTGCAAAGACCACTCGCTAAGCTGAATATATCCGTAGTCCTTTTTAGCTCTACTAGGTCCCCAAAACAGCATTGAAGCGCACTATACAATCTGTGCTCAGTGGGTTATGCCAATGCGCAGAAGCATAGCGGCTAGTGGACCACTCAAATCCCGCAAAGGAGAACATGGCAAGGATAGCTAAATTTAGCGATGAAATCGGTTGAAGTGGCAATTGTTTAGGATCTGACGTTAAGATCAAGACTACTGGTGACGAGATGGAACAATATACTTGCACGGAGTTTAATTTTGCGAGGTAACCTCTGATTCAGGAAAGCAATACCCGACTATACATGGCCCTATGACATACTTGAACTTGAACGAAACTACCTACCCTTGCTTACTTGTATCTCTAGTTATTTCCAGTGAGATTCTTTTCCAAATTCCTTTTTCCAAATCCGTATCTACCTCATCTGAGCCAGAACTACCTCCCTTCCAACCTCCACTTGCAGCCTTTTCGATCCTTTCCCCTTGATAAGTATCATCACACTGAGCAATGGGATGAGACTTCCATGTTTCAGTTGCAAAAGCACTCAACCTTTGCTCAGCACTTGATCTGCCTGAGTCTCTTTTCTGAACCGAATGCATCTGGTATGACCCTGTGGCCTTTGATCGTCGCCAGGACAGGTAGTTGGATCCTGACTTCAGAGAAGTGAAGAGGAGGAACATAAGTGGTCGGAGGCAAGGTAGACACGCGGCAACGATACCTAAGCACACTTCGGCCTGTGACCAGATAGCGGCGCCAACGTCGGAGTCTGGTGGCCCAAATTAGTCAAATCAACTCGTCAAAAACGGAAGATTCGCACGTACACGTGAGGTCATCGGGCCCGACATAAATTAATTGTGGAAGTCTGATCAAATTCACCACGGCGATGCTGTTACCCGTAAGCCAAGGCACTTTTTTGCAGGGAGAAGTAGAACGCACAAGGACCCCAGAAGGAACATGCCGCTGACAGCAATCTTCTCCGGTCTAGTTATCTGGAGATTCCAGATCATAGGCAGCGGGAGTACGACGACATAGATATCCAAGACAAGGAAAAGAATGTCTTGGGCAATCCACATGACGTGTACATTGATGCAATGCCCTCCTACGATGGCTTTGTTCCAGGAATATGCAATGGGCGAGCATTGAAATATTGTGGGAAAGACTTGTGACACGCAGACTCCAACCGACAAACCAGCGCACACCAGCAGCGCAATCTTGAATCGAGCATCTCGGAGGGTGAAAACGCGAACATAGAATAGGAGGATCGAGAGCTGGATGATGCAGATGGCAATCGGAAAGACGAGTACGTTCGCATAAAGGGCCTGGGAAGATTACCCCGTCAGCTTGCATCAGCACCTTTCGTTGTAGATGGAATCGACTCACCTTCTCGAGAACGATGGCTTCATTCGGCGTGACTGTGATCAGGTGCCTTCCCAGCCCATTGTGACCGCCTAACCTTGAATCAGACTCCTACGCTCAAGCTATGAGTAGGAAGACTTACATATGACATTGGTCACGAACTCTCCCCAGGCAATGAGCTAGAGACTGATCAGCTCTCCGATCGCTTTTCGGCATTCGAGGCTGGATACAAACCAAGGCGATCACAATAGCCCAATCATCTGCCTTCAAACCAACTTTTGTGTGTACTCTGGTAATGAAGCGCGCAAGTACCAGCACTGTCGCTAAAGCTGAAAGTGCGGCAGTCGAACCGATGAGCTGGCCTGTCTTGCTTTGGTGGGCATGAGCAAGCTGGTATGCGGCTTCTGCTGAACTGATTGACATCTTGATATTGGGAGTTCAGAGAACGGGAGGAAAGCAGTAAACAAAATGAAGGGACGTGTCTGGGACGCTGATACATCAAACATGTTGCTGAACACGGCAAAGGACTGGCTAGGAAAAGGCCGCCACAGTTCGTCCCTCTCGCAACGTCGTCAATCGTCATCCCTAATCGTCATCCCTAATCGTCAAAATCCTCAGACAAGGCCAGCAAGCTTTCTCGCTACCATTCCACACTTCCACAAATCTCTAACACTGGATTTTCCCCTAGGTACATAGATCGTGCAGAAAGTTTGGCGTTAGGAGAATTAGGCGACCCGCTTCAGGTCCGCTTGAAGTGTTTCTCGAAAATGCTCTGGTCGCTTAACAGCCACAATCCTCCGCGCCGCACATGTTTTCGCGGAGTCTGAGACCATGACGATTGGCAGAAAGTGAATTGTTGCGACTCACTTGCACAGCTGGGTTCTGGAACATCCAACTGCGCGTAGATAGGCCTGCACTGTTTCAGACATCGAGGGTCGGCCAATCAATTCCCAGTCGACCTGAGCTTACGCAGACATTATACTAGCACTAGTATGAGATGCCATATAGACCTTTTCGATTTTTAGCTTCATACTTACATTGAACAAATGATCAGGATGTCAAGATCAGCTCCCGCACCAATGAGAGGTGGAAGGAATCGGGATTGATCTTTCAGCATTTACAGCGATCCCATATGGCCGAGTGATGCAACCGGCACCGATGATGATGCCCAAAGCCTAGACAGGAACGACGTTTGATACTAAGACATGCTAGCAAGCAGAACAGAGGAACTTTAAACAACTTGACTCCGGACAGTCCCCCTCCGACAGTCCCCCGTCTATACTAATACAACCTCCCGCGTACGATCTATACACTAAGCTTTAGGCCCTATCTAATTTAGGTGAGGGGCCGCGCCAGCCCTGTATACCGAATTAATTGATATATAAAGCTGTAGTTGACTATAAGGCTGTTTTGCATATAAAGTATGGTTCTAAATGACCATTTTGAAACAACTGGGGGTTTGGTCATATAAAGCTGGTATTTCTGAGAGGGTACAAAGATTACTTAGTCATCTATATAGCCAATCAAGTACCCACTCCAGTTACCCCAGTCTTACTATTTCAGCCTTTCCACACCCATTCTACACAAACGATCCAGCCATTCCACACCCATTCTACATATACTAGACTGTTATATCCACCATTCTTCGTCATCCTCACGTATCCAACTCGGGATCGTCCTTCATAGCCTCGTAGCAGGTAAATAGGTGGAGAAATACGTCCTTGCGCGTACTAATTTGGTAGATAACACGCTATCTATCCCCTAATTCTCAGCTTACTAACTAGCGGCGACAGCAGTAAAGCACTACTGGCATATAAGGCTGTTTTGCATATAAAATACGGTTCTATTGGTGAAAAAAACCTCCAACACCATATAAAGCTAGAGCTTTATATATCAATTAATTCGGTATTATATTGTGAGAAACTTTAAGTTCGGATATTGTTTAGTAACTCAGCTAAAAAAGACTGGTCTCGGGGGTGTCTGCGCTGAATAGCCAGATACCCCTATTTGGACCTAAATAGGGCCCCGTAGGGACGTCGCAGGGCCCCCGTGGGGGCTGCTGTTAATAATGCCTCCCCCTCTAGGGGGCTTGTTCTCGAGCTTCGAAGATAGTGCAAAAATCGCAATATTCCGGGGACTCTTTCCCCGAAGGATCCACGATTTTAAGGACAATATGCCTTGTGCTTCGGGGTTTACTCCCCCGAAGACTCCTAAATGCCCGCTCTTTGCGGGGCTTTTTGCCCACATGGGCTACCAAGTGAAAGGCCTATGGCCCCGCCTTCACGTCGGTATAATGTGGGAATGGGGCTGTATTCCGGGCCTGTGGCCCCGCCTTTAGCGCACATAAATCAAAGGCCTATTTTGGCCGGCCTGGGGGTTTCTTTCCCGGGCTCTGCTTGGGCTTTGCCCTGGGGCGTTCTACCCGAAATATCCTTATTGGAACAGAGCTGTTCTACCCGAAAAATCTCATTTGTATAGGGCGTCCTGCCCGAAATATTCGGCTTCGGGGCCCGCCTTCGACGTGACTTTTACCCGAGCGACCCTCTGAAAAAATCAAGTTTCTGATTTTTTGATGGGGGATCCAAGCGTCCTTAAACCCCCGACCCTCAACCGGCTATAGCTAATATCGCTCCGGGGTTCTATAACATTTTCTTAATTGTGGTTTTGGTTTTGTCGTAGTATCAGCCGTGGTCCGCCGTACTTACCCCACACGGCGGGGAACGCTCCGACGTCAGTTACTGATAAGAAGCTCTCGGAGCTGGGGAAGCATGGGAGACACCGCTGTAGAAGGCTCTCCGCGAGAGCTCATCATACGCCGCCGTCGCTGTCATGGCCCAGAAACGTAAGATTCGTCTCTCAACGGGTGTCCCGTCCGCTCATAATGGCAGAGGCACTCTGCTGCATATCCGTTGATATCGACGCTGTCGCCGGATGGCTGGGTTCATATGGTGGAGAAGACTCTACGAGTGATATATCAAGAGGTGTGTAAGTCCCTGATATACATGGGCAAGTAATACGCTGACTGGTCCAAGGTCTCTTCGCCGGTACGGTTGGAGTTCGCCGACTCCTGAAGTTATTTGCAAAATACGAAATCAAGACCACCTGGTTCATTCCTGGACACTCGCTGGAGACTTTCCCGGAGGAATGTGCAATGATAAGAGACGCAGGGCATGAGATGTATGGGAACAATACCACTTAGCGGAGGATTACGGTGCTGAATAGATTCCTTCGCAGAGGCCTCCACGGCTACTCGCATGAGAACCCCGTGAAGATGAATCTTGAACAGCAACACGCTATCTTGGATAAAACCTACAAAGACCTCACTAAGTTCTGCGGGAAGCCGCCACGAGGGAACGTAGCACCCGTAAGTTATCCTTCTCTGAGCAATTTCGTTCTGAACCTACTGCATTTCGAGTCGCGAGAATCGTCGCAGGAATGAAAGACTCCTAGGACCTGTCTCACGACTTGAGATCAGTCCAAAAGAGACATTCTGACTCTTCAAACATTTAGTGGTGGGAAGCGAGCCAGGAGGGTGCGGAATTGATGCTCAAGTACGGCGTAGAATACGGTCCGCACCCCGTGGCCCAGGAAATGGCTGTATATATCCTGAGATATCGTCTGCTCACACTATAAAAGATCACAGCTTCTCCCACCACGACTGCTTACCCTACTACCTCCGCACCGGCGACAAATGGACCCCAATCGACTACAGCAAACACCCCGACCACTGGATGAAGCCGCTGGAGAAGGGCCCTGACACTGGTCTCGTAGAAATCCCAGCCAACTGGTATCTTGACGACCTCCCCCCAATGATGTTTATCAAGAAGGCACCCAACTCCCACGGTTGGGTGAACCCAAAGGACGTCGAGGACCTATGGAGAGATCATTTCGATTTCTTTTACAGAGAATACGACGACTTTTGCTTCCCAGTGACCATCCATCCGGACGTCAGCGGCCATCCACACGTGATTTTCATGCTGGAGAGATTGATCGAGTATATTAGCAGCAAGCCGGGTGTCAAGTGGGTGAAGATGGAGGACATCTGTGATGATTTCAAGAGCAAGAACAAGCCTCCCAAGGGGGCTATGTTGCCTGCGGAGCATGGTGCAATTCTTGATGATCCGAGTAAGTATTCTGCTTATGCAGCCACCTTCTAGCGGCGAGAATTGAGTGCTAAGATAGTACTAGATATCCAACTTCAAAATACGTGAGGTAGCACTGCTGGCTTTGTATAGATGAGCACTAAGCATACCGCTCATCCTGCTCGTCTGGGCGTTTCACCTGGTCCATGTCAATGTGGGCAAATGCCAGAGGCTACCGTGGATTAACATCTCTCTATACCTTCCTCAGCATGTGATAATCTACGATATTTTCGTACAAGATTGCGCTGAAGACACAACATTTTGGCTTTTTGAAAGCCTGTGGCCCAGGTCATATGAACATGAGTCTTCATTTCGTTACCCATTATCTGTTCGTCACCTTCATAACATCAAGATCATTTCGCAGCAGACCCGTGGACGATTTTCATGACTGAAGAAGAGAAATATATAAGATAGAACCAAGGTTCTATCAACCCCTTCGCTACCACCACCTTATCTTGTCTAATCGCTCCAACGCGATTTCAGATCAGGACTCGCATACACCTTTATCATCTCCCTCTTTGCCCTCGCCGCCTCTTTCCTGCGTTCATCATCATCATGCGGTCTCCTGAGGTTTCCCCTTTTTACGTGAACATTGTAATACTTCAACGCCTCACGATTCCGTTCTCGCTCCGCTTCGTCACGTACCTGTTGCCCATAGCCTTCCGCCCTTTTTCGCCCCAGGTGTTCCGTGTAATGTGTTTTGAGTTTTGCCTTTTCATCGTCAGCTGCGTAATGCTTCAATGCCTGACGGTTTCGTTCGCGTTCTGCTGCATCGCGTACCTGTTGCGCATACGCTTCCTTGTCCTCCTGATGCCAACGGGGCCTACGCTCTCCTTTGTGTCGGTAGGGGATATAGCCTCCTTTTTTATCCCAGTCGTAGTAGGAGCTGGAGGGGTGGTGTTTGCGGCGGTGGTCGCTATTGGGGCCGCTGGATTCGCGGGATGCTGCGCAACCCATGATGACGATGAATACGTGGTATTTGGTTTGTGGTCGCTTGGAAGTTTGCCGGGTCTGAGATGTAAGGCTAAGGATTGCTTTCGTATATATATTTTTTGGATGCGATGGATTGATATAGTATGCAAGGCCTGAGGATGGTATTATGCAGGAAGGAGAGAATCCGAAAACATGGGGGAAGAGAGCTCGTGAGTGAAGGAAAAGCTGTGTCGTATACAAAGGAATGCAGTGGGTTTTTTTCAAAGGCCTTGTCGCACAATGTCAATTGTGCCATCTCCTGGTATGACAATGCCTTTCTCACTCGACCTTCATTGTAACGAACAAAGATTGCTTGAGACATATGATCACCTGCATTTTGGTAGAGTTTCACAGTGCAAGGCTTCAGGAGACCATAGAAGCTCATCTCGGATCTCTGAATCTGCGACCGCTGTCTCGTTTGCAAGAGCTTCGACCTATACGTCCTTTTCAACCCTTGATGACGCTCCGAGCCTGGATTCAGAGACCACAGCAGGCATTGTATGTTCTGTTGGAACCGCAGACGCAGTGACTGCTGCGTCCAACCTCGGGCTTGCTGGAGGTTGTGGACATGCGCAGAGTCGAGATTGATTTGACTATGCTCTGGAGGCTCTGATGAGGTGTTCAACAGAAGGGATTTTGCCGATGAAACTTGAAATTCTAAGCAAGTGGCGTGGAAGGTGGAGTGAAATTTCCCAGGTGAATCAGTCGTGACGCGCTTGCCCTTGATGCAGATCAAAACCATGGCTATCGCACAACACAACAGCTTGTATTGAAACGGAAGCTGCTCCCTGCTTTATCACATGGCCGGAACCCCCACTGTTGCCGTCCATCCATCATCCACCAGCATCTTCCACATAGGCTACTAACACTTCCTGGTCTCCCTTGACACGGTCCATGTAAGACAAGCCACCAGATTTGAAATACTTCACCCTATTCAAAGCTGACTCCCAACGCCCCACAGCTACCCACCTCACACGAAAATTTCTCAACATGGACTCCAGACCCTACCTCCAAGACCCTCGCCGTAAGTTTCTCTGCCGCCCGCAAGCTCCATACTTCGATGACTGATCGATGCCCAACAGTCAGCGCCGACTCTAAACGCAAATGCCGAGTTTGAATCCATCGCTCGAGCTAGGTGCCCACCCACCCTGTAACTCTCGCAGCTGTACGACACGGCTTCGAAGCGTCCTGGGAACAAAGATCCATTCCTTGCGCGGTGGAAGGGTATTTCGGACGCACAGACGCGGCTGGCGCTGGAGATGCACGCCGCGGTCTCCAAGTTCAAGAGTCTCGAGGCACAACTGGATGGCAGTGTGAGCAAATTCGAGGAACGGAAAGAGCAATATGACGTGGTAGTGGATGCGACGAGCCGCTGGGCTTTGGAGCAGCAGGAGGTACTTGCCATGGACCGGGTCAATACGTTCGTCGCGGAAGAGGAGGCTTTGATAGCTGCAGGGACTGCTTAGCTTCATGGGCAACTGCGGGGAGTATTTTGCTCGCAAGAGCTGCTGCTTTGCTTTTGGGGACAGATCTCAAGGATGGAGTCGATTTTGAAGAAAGCAACATCAATGGCCAGAATCCAAGCGCTGGCTGAGGCTCACTGAAAGAGTGCGGGAATGGACACCGAAGACTTTAGAGAGAGAAAAATATAAAGAAAAAAACCTCCGAGTCTCCAATTTCCTGAACCCTTAAACGTTCCACTTGTCACCTGAGTAGGTACTTGTTCACCGCGCCCATCTAAGAACCTGAGTTCTCCCCCGCAACCCCCTCGGTAGCTTCAGCCCCGAAAGTCTTATCGAACGTCTCCTGAGCTGATCTCATTGCCTCCTCCTCTACCGCCTGCCGTAGGGTCATCATCAATGCCTCAAGTGATTCCTGGGGAGTTTTCTGCAATGCGGCTGTGCTGCACTTAAGCATTGGCTGCTTTCCAGGCTTGTTAAGCTGCACGTAGCTTCTGAACATCTTTCCAGAAACATCATCGTTGCGTGTGATGATCTTGATGTTTGACTCAGGTTCGTTGTATAGCTTCATTGCAAGCTCTAGAAGCACTGGGTTAGTTCTTGTGGTCCTTGTTCGTAGAGAGTAGAGGATTTGCCCTACTTTTTGTTTTCGCCTCCACGTTCTTGATGTATTCGTAGACTCTACGCACATTTCGGGGTCAGCGTTGCTTCTTCAAGGTAGATGATTGAGTTGCAAGACAGGTCTCGCGAGCAGAACAGGTCAATTTGCTCCCGAAACATTCCTTGCGACTCAAATTCAGTACCAGATAGGAATTTACGTACGTAGAATGCGAAGGGAATAACAATTCAACGTTTGCATCAGTCATCGCCTTTGGGGCCGCAAGGTTCGACTGCTAGTGACTCCGTCAGCAGAGATCTAGAACATCCTAGGGTTGAGCTTTGCTGGCAATGGAACAGATCTACTTACCTTTTTCTCGCCGCAGCAGGCTTTGACTTTCTTGCCAGAACCGCACTCGCAGCGATCGTTGCGTCCAGCTTTGGAAGCCAGCTGGCTGGAGGATGTCGGCATGTTCTTCGAAAGCTATCTATTGAGCGTGAAGAGTCCACGTATTGGTTTCGATACAGAAGTATGTCCGGATCTGGGACAGATCATGCTGCTGATGTTGAACGGGTTGGCAAGAACCTTATATACCAAATTGACGGAGACCAAGGGTTATTCAATCCATTCAGGCGCCTGGAGTTCTCTTTCAAGCCCGGAGGCACCTAACTTTCGGAACATCACATTTCGTCCATTGGGTCTCACATTATCGCACTGCTAGAGTTTGTGGGATACTGTTTGTTGACACCGAACTTTTTTGGAATAAAGAATCATCTAGTGGTGTAAATGTTACTGGTATGCAAATGGAAAGCCTGACTCCATATGTTCTCCCGAAGCTGGCGTCTCCTATACAGTTCGTGGTATCATTAAATCATTTGCTCCGGTCCATCGCAAAAAAATCGAACCTGACACCAATCGCCTCGAAAGTCTCCGGCTTATATTGAAGCATATCCAATTTGGGGCATTCACCAGAATAAATGTCTTTCTTCAGTCAATCTCCCACTGCAGGTTTTTCAGTCAGAAATTCCCTTTACAAGATCTAGGAATTGAGTCAGAAGACAGTTGCGGCAGTCAGTGTACTCCCGCAACGTGTCTCGGGACTCAAAGCAGAGAACGAACAAGAAGGTAAAGGGCAGGCAGAGTTGCTTACAGATCCGCCCATCTCGCTAGCTCTGCTATCTTTCGATGATAAGTTCTTGCGGAGGGAAACACCTGCATATTTCGGAGTCAGTAGGACTTTTTTGAGGCCGAAACCAGGTTGTGAGACAGGTGTTGGGATTGAATGAGCTTTTTGCTCGCAAAACATGTCTCACGAGTCAACTCGCGGTCTGACTTGTGAACAAAATGCCAAGAAAAGTACACCTACCATAGTCGTCCTCTTCCCAGGTTTCATCAGCTCCATCGCTAGCATCACTGAAGTCCCAAGAGCACGGTATCTTCTGTCCGCCGTCACCAAAGCCAAATGAAGTGCCTCGGGAAGCACCTCGAGCTATCTTAGCAGCGATCCTCATCATAAGGGCGACCAGCTGAATAGGTGGTCCCAACAACAGCGAGCACGTTTTTTGAAGAATTGCTGTGGTCATATGGTGACCTGACATATGTGAACGAGGTGAGTAAGGAGAGTACAGATTTGAAGACGGTGGGAGTGGTGATTGACCTCGTCTCTTTCGTCTGATACCATGACGGCGAAGCTTGGTATGCGGTGAAGGTGTCGTAGGCTCGGGCCAATGGTCATCATCTTGTGATGCAGCATCGCTTACCAATGGCGGCGTCCCTGGGAGATCAGGCGGTGAGTGATATGTACTTCCGTCCTCGGGCTTTGCGTCACTCATGTCCCAAAGCTCAGGAGACGAGGCTGTGACGGTGATCTCATACACATCACGTTTGTGGTTGCGGATTTCCGGTATGTCGATGCCGGCGTATTCCTCTCGCGGAGATGTAGGAAAGGGAGGTGAAGGCGCTAGAGGAGATATTGGGCTGTGAAAAGAATGGAAGGAGTCCACGCTCGAAGAGAGACTAGACGACTCTCTCTTGACATTGGGTAAGGCGAGAGACTCTGCTTCCTTGTTAGATGGTGGCGAGGTCCTGAGGGTCAACTGTGGTGGTGCGGTGATGGCTCGCCCGGTCCGCAGACCCTTGGGCCGAGTGGGGGTCTTGAAGTCGTCGGGTTCTTCGTAGACATTTTCGTGCAAATCTTTGGGGTTAAAGCTTATAGCGTCGGTAGCCTCACTGCCACCTTCGTTTTCCGTGCTCCCAGTACTACTGACGTCCGAATGTACGACTTGGAAGCTTGCTTCTGTCTCGCGATGTGTCTCAATATCAGGCTCGACTAGCTCGCCCTTTCCAGCGTCTGGGCTCCGGGTGAACGTATCATTTATCGAAAACTCGCCTAAGTCTTCTATCACTTCAGGTACTTTTTCTGACATGGTATCAAGTCGCGGCTTAGGTCTCCATGGTCGCTTCTGGATGGGTGTTTTTGAAGGCTGTGGTAGGTCGATGGTGAAACCCCTCTTGAAAGGACATGGAGTGGCTTCAAATTGTAGTACTTTTGTCAGGACAATTTTGAAGTCATCCACCTTCTTCTTATCTTCAGAGCCTGCTCGTGGCAGTTCGATACGATAGTAAGCGTTCGGACGGATTCGGAGTACGAATTTAGATTCGCCGTCCACGCACCAACACTGCGATTTTGATAGTAGAGGCTGCAGCGTGGTGCCAGAGTTGAGGAAGGCCGTACCCAGAACTCTGTAGATCCGTAGGGGCCCTATGAAGAAGACTTAGCTAGATAGTACTGTATCTATCTGAGTACGCTCGAGCATACCAGCGGCCAAGGTTCTCTCAGTGGTAGAGAACCATGGCAATGTCCCGACAGGTTCTTCTTGGAGCTCAGCCCGTCCGTTGCTGATACTCGAATGCCTTCGAGCCAAGCTTGTTGGGTTGTTGAATGAAACAATTCTTCCAGCGCCATGTGCGTATAATGTTTCAGCTCCGTCAAGTGTCTCCTCCGGGAGTGGGATTGACCTAGAGGACCGAATTGGTGCAGTAAAGGAGCGGCGGATAAACGGCGGGGGGGTCGCTCTCTCTGGCGTAGATGGCGCTGATGCGAGCGCCATTTGATAAGGATCAGGAAGGCGGTTCACTCGAGTGTTGGACGCGTGATGTGGGGCCCATGCTGTGCGTCTTGATCCACGGTAACGCGAGTGTCTGTGGCCGTCACAGGGCTGAAATCGGCGTAGATACGAGGGTACCCCGTACTCGTACTTGAAGATCTTAAGCGCGGTTACCTATCCGATAAACGCCGACGCCGAGGTAACAAATTTAACCGAGATTCTTCCCCCTTATTCAATAGCTTCCTTATTTTAATTATTAGATAACTTTACTATTAATAGTCTAATATGTCTTAAATTACTATTCTATTTACTTCTGATAAGAACGAATTAGATTAAACTTTAAAGTAGTAAAAAAAAACCGCGAAAACTAGTGAGAGATAGATATTTCTTAAAAAACGTAATAATCTTCTTCAGCGTATTTCATTATTTCTAGAGTATTAATTAATGGTAATTGAGTATCGGGTAGCTATTAATTATCTTTTAAGTAATCTATTTCTTACTTCACGTACTATATTTAGTCTTATATAAACTACTACTATCTGAGAAATACTTCGAGATAATATTAATTTGTATACCTCTACTTAAAGTTCTCGCGATCTTTATTAATACTTTACAACTGTGTCAGAGCTTAAAATTTTCGTCGCTATTACAATCTATATGGGAATCTTTTATTTTTCTACTATTTATGAAAGCGTGGTGATAGAGTTGTTGAAAGAAGAAGATATCTGTCGAGTAAGGCTAAATCCCCCCCTATCTCTATACTACTAAAGGCACTACGAGATAATCATAATTTGTAAGATTTAAAGGCTATTCGGGCGAGCCTTATGTGTTGTAAGGACATTTAAAATCGAGGTTTTAGATAAGAGATTAGTGGGAATAGGGATAATGCTTTCAAGATACACGGGGGATATAAAGTATATCAGGTCTTTTTATATTGTAAAGGGGATTGCGTAAGACGATTTCATGAAAGGGATAATGTATTGAACTCTATATAATAGATCTAGACTACATTTATTGAATCATATGAATGTGGTGGGGTAGTAATCGAAATAATGGTGCGGAGAAAACAATTTGTTGCCTCTCGGCGTTTAACGGATACACTCTTAAAGTGCGGCTGACTCGGCAATTGAAACGTAAACATTGTTTTCTTGTTCGCCAATTCGTCATTCGTCCGTAATCCTCTCTCAACTGTTAACCAAAGGTCGAAGGCCTGAGCTTCAAAATAGATACTGGTGGGGGAGAGGTCCGTACACTCCCACTGAAGAACATCGATGACACGTCCAGGATAGAAGAGAAAAACACAATGGCATTCACGATGCCTTTGGTTGGAACATCTTCCAGAATGAGATCTCGGAGGATAGCGTTCCTCGACACATTCAGACTGGGGATGATTGCCTTCCACGAGCATCAGCCCTTCTGGGTCAACGTCAACATCGAAGGTAGCGCACGACGGAAGCACCGCCGTCTGAAAGCGACTCGTGAAAAAAGGGTAGTTCAAACCCCCAAGCTCTGATAATGTCGGTCGTCATATACTTCAAACAGCCATGGTGCAAAAGCTCGTGAGCAAGCAGAATCTTCTCATCGGGGATATTGCGCCGAGTAGAGCGATGGAGGGCAAGACTGTACTCTCCATTGAGAATGACGGTCTGATAGCGGACAGTCCGACGACAATACTGGACTCTAGTCTGTTAAATTGACGCCCAGAACTGGACTTGGGTTTATCTTCTGAGAATACCAAATCGAATGGTGCTAAAGGCTTTGAAATCTTATACGAGACTACTTTTCTGCGTTCCCTTATTTCGATATGCCTTCACGTACTCGGTCGTGAGTGCGATTATTTGACGATTATTTGTAGCATCTTACTAATCTCGACATACTACTTCCTTACCGTGTTCTATCCGTCAAATGCGACTGATTTAGACCTCCCTCGTCACAGACAAACACCCTTCCTTCAACCAGATCCGAAGAGTACATATATATCTCCAGATCCTGGTAGCAGGCTCGCTACATCTCCCTAACCCCCCAGAACTGTTGCGAGCATGGTCAGGAAAGAGCCATGTCTGCCCCACTGAGTCCTGCCAAGATTAAGCTTTACAATATCGGCATATTTTGTCATTTCGTTCTTTCCATCTGCTTCTCCGAGGCCTGATGCAGTTCTTGGCGGCAGTATTGCTAGAACATGAATCACGCCATCTTCGAACTTCGCGATCTAGCACAAAATGAGCCCGCTTGCTCACATATATATATTTGATTGTTCGGCGGCTTTTGCTCTTTCTGTTGAGAAATCTGTCTACACTGAGCAAATTTTCAGGGATCCAGTATAACTCCCGCAATTAATGCAGTATTCCCGTTTGAAGGTGAGAGTACTGAGCAAGTTATTAAATGCTATTTAAGTTATGACTCCTCCGATTAATGCAGTATCGCTCTCCATGAGCATAAAAGTGTGCAATTCCTCCCTCCATTGCTCCATCCAACACCCCACACATCTCACATATATCTTTACCAAAAGGCGCATCACGCACGAAAGCATACTTGCACCCAAGTCTATCATCCTCTCGTGACATATCATCCACTCACCCACCATGTCAGACAACATAAGCCGCATCATTTCGCCCGAGTATGCCGGACCAGCATTCTACGCCTCTCCATCAGCGTCCTCCTTGCCCATCCCCGAGTTTAGCAAGCGCTCTTCAACCGCCCTCGGTGTAAGCACACAACTCAGCCTCGGAGCACGAAAGTCTCCTCTAGATGCCATTACTCACATCGAGCAGGCTTCATCCGATTCAGATCAATCAAGCAAATCCAGTACCAGAAGCAAATCCGTTTCCTTCACCTCAGACACCAAATCCAATGACGGCAAAAGAGCCATATCGGCTACCAAGGAGCAAGACAAGTCCATCGACATGGTTAGGGGCAATTCATCCAGTTGTTCGATTAGTTCATGTCTGACTCACCATACCCAGAAATTCAAGACTGCACTCGCGGCATCCGCCCAACGAAGTGCAGCATTCGAGAAGCTTGCCAAGCGAGTCGGAGAAGACAACGAAGCTCAAGCGAAACGTGAGACAGCACAGCACCAGGCATCAGAGATCCTCGAGCTCCGACAACGTCAACAAGTCATCATCGACCGCATCATGCGAAGATCCGCCAAGGTTACCTTCCGATATACACCCCAGGAGATAATTGACATCCGAAACCAGAAGCCCACTATTCCCGCCAATGTGCAGCGCCAGGCACAAGAAATGCAGCAGATGTGGATGAACCAACAAATCCGAACAATTTCGCAGCAGGCGGCAGAGCATCTGGTGATGCTAGAGCGAAGTACAAATCACCTGCTGCAGCCCGCGACCACAAGGCTAGAACAAAATCTAGCCAAACAACAGGAGATCTTGCAGCAAAGGCTCGACGAAATCAACGAGGAGATCAAACGAGAGGAAGGAAACCTAGCCGACGACGAACTAGGCCTGACCAGCAGCAGCGATGAAACTACCCTGATTGACACCGTGATAGACAGGGACGAGTATCAATACCAGGAGGTTATCCTCCCCAGCAATCACAGGCTCGCCGCGAATTCTCTGGAGACCATTTTCGAGGAGTCTGAGGAGACTGCAGTCGAAGATAGTAATGAGGCTGACCAGAAGGCGCCGGAGATTGAGCAGACCGGGAAGGCTGAAGAAGAAGCCGAGGACTTTGACGAGTTTGAGGAACTTGAGGACGAGGGCTACTATTCGATAGAGGAGATGGTGGAAGAACAGGAGGATGAGGCTTACTTCTCTATGGAAGAGTAGGAGGAATATTGCAGAGCATGGTAGTGCTGGATACTTGAGTTCCTTGTCTTAGTCTTCAATTAGTTCAGCTGCAATGAACGAGTCGTTTTCAGCCCGTGATCATGCCCAGAAGACTAGACGACTGCAGAGATTTGGGTAAGTACGTTAGTAGAAGGCATCCAAGCGCTTCGCTCTCCTAAGACTCGGACCCACCTTGGCACCTCAATTGTTCTCGCGCTCAATATCGCCGGCTGGGCGACACCTTACTGCTCATGCTCTCTCATCCGAGACGCTGATTCTCTGGGCCTTTGCATCCTACCGGGCTTGTGAAGACAGATACCAACTGCGGGTATGGCTATGTTGAGTGTCTAGGGTCGCGTGAGGAAATTTTCACCGGCAATCTTTCGAAGCATGCGACACAGCCGCCAACATCATGAAAACTATCTGGCTGGGCATTTGACGCCTGTGAAGTCCATGGGGCAACCCGTAGGGTGTCCAGTATGACTTATCAATTTATCAACCATCATGACAGCTAGGGGTGGTTTTTTCGACGACTTCCGGGACCGTGGGGGGATGTTACATTGGGTGTATTCGTCTAGGACGAATATAGGCAGAGCCTACAATAATTAATTGGTCGTCATGTGGCATGACGTTGGCTGTGCCACATTTCTTTCGCTTGTTATTCATAGGTCTAATCCAGAGGGCATCAGACCGTGATAATGTATAGTGTACTGTGTAATATTTGGCCTCCTCCTAAACTCGAAAGCAGCACTGCTTCCTAAGGTAGTGCAACCTTCCTTCCGACGTTGGATGCCAAGTCTACGTTAAATACTTGATAGGCTAGAGCGCCGGAGCTTCATTTGCAATCTGCAGTTCCCGGCCGGCTCATGTCAGGGCCAGGGCTCGCATGACCCCATCCAGTGAATTTGTTTGTCACCTCCCTCATACGGAGCATGGGTAGAAAGGATTATTGGTCTTTCACTCAACGGTTCTGTTCAATCTTCAAGTCTTCCTGCCCCCACCTCTTCGTTACCTCCGGATGCGATGCGCCGTCATGCGCCGAAGATCGCTTTGTATGGCTGGGATCCCTAGATACAAATAATCAACATCCCTCCGGGCCATCATTTTGCATCATGTAAAAGAGCACTCTTATCACACAGGGCTATCTCTATATATATCCTGCCTCCATACCTAGCCGATCATGGCTCTCGGTTCAAAGCTCGTAATAGCACTACCATTCTTGTTTCTCGCAGCCAGAATCAATGCCAATAGCTCTATTACAGCCTTCAACCTTACCGCTATCTCCGCCTTCAACAATGCTTCCATACTGGAGTGCTGGCAGATCACTCTTCCCCTGACCATATCTCAGACGGCAGGCATTCAAGGTGCGGCTGTACAGCAGCTCGGCAATGTGAGCAGCATGGTGTGGTCAAGCCTACCGGGTGGATTTGCAGGTTCACCCCATCCTGCTCCGTCTGTACAGTACGTCTATATCCTATCCTTCTTCATACATACGATATACTTTCTCTTTCTTCCGATTCAATGTACTAACGCGCTATGTATTTCGCATATAACAGGTACAATGTGATCCTGTCCGGCACCCTGCACGTCACAATCCCAAACTCGTCGCAAGAAGTCACGGTGGTCAGCGGTAAAAGGAGCCTGCTTATTGCTGCGGACACGGCAAATGTGAGCAGGACGGGGCATATCTCAAGCCTTCTTGGAAAAGAGCAGGGCACTTCGTTAATGATACCCACGGCGAATAATGAGATACCCCCGCATAAGGTCATACATGCTGGAGCTTGTGGAAAGCGCGATTTGGAGCTGTGACGGAAGGGACGTTTCCAATTCGATCGGCGCAGAGGATATGTAGAGGTGAAATTTACAGCAGAATGCCTGTCTGAAAGCCGGTGCCGTTTCAGCGATGTCGCATTACAGACCAGAATCTATCATTAGGGTATATGGATAGTACATGCCTGAAGAGATGTACAAAAAGACTCTCAGATGGTACATTGAGGCTCTCAAAGCCACTGCGAATGTCATGAACTGCTTCGGGGACTTTCCCCTTGAACGCAGGGCTTCGAACACAATTTCCTTTTCCCTTCAGAATCATACTTTGCCCAATGGTAACGTCGCAGGAGGACGTGTAAGCGCCTCGCTATCGTTACTAAGCTCATATCCCTCGCTCCGGTATCTTGCCGTGATGCGGTCTTTCCAACTTTGCTGACTTCCAGATTCATACTGGTATCGATCTCCTTTAAGATTCCTGCTGGATCCACGAGCGGGAGAGATAAGGGTTCTGTAAGTTGGCAAACATGACATGATTACCGCAATTGCAGGCTCTAGGGCGTCGTAAAGCAATGCTTGGCTTACAACTCCTCCACCATCACCCACCGCGAGTCGGACAGCGTCTATGACGACGACGACCATGCCGACTGAGAACAGCAATCCCACGGCAATTTTCTTGCCCAACTGCATTTGCAGGCCTCGCAGGAAACATGTGGGGAGGATCATGACTACTATTTGTCAGTATATAAGAGACTTCTTGAGAGCTGAAGAACTTACCAGCGAGATCGGAAGATATATTAAGGGCAAGGCCTACCTCCGCAAAGTTGTTTACGACGCCGGACGCATGTGGAGTTAGACATTTCTCTGGCGGCCTATTAGCACGCATTGTGGAAAGCACGGGTTCAAAGTACGCACTGAGAACGAATATATCGGACGGACTGCCACAGATCCAAAACACCTCGAGGAAGCACGCCCAGAATGCGATGCAGGTATAAATGAAGACAGCCCACCACCATCTCATAAATATCTTGTTGACACTGAAGATTTGGCGGAAGAGAATCAGAAAAGTGAATTTGACCGCATACAAGATGATCCAGAAGAAGAGTTGTCCAGCAACTTCAAGCCGGAAGAATCGCTCTAGTCTTTCTTTCGAGGGCATTGGCCCATCTTTCTTTCCAAAGAGTCCCACTTCTATGGCTAAGGGGTAAATCGTCGTACTAAGAGCCATGTATGGGATCAAGAGTACCAATGCGAAGGCGTGGCTCCAGTCATCCATTTGAAGCTTTCCAAGCAAGCGTTTCCGGATCACGAAACGGCCAAAGGATAGAAGAATGGCGAAGCTTGTGAAGGTCCACGATACCGCCTGTCCCCACATAGGATTGTGTTAGTGTGCTTTCATGGTGCATGCAATTCAGATATGTGGAAGGGCTTCTTACCAGATATTCACTACGACTGAGTGTCTTTGCTGGGGAGTGGGTCGTAGAGGGCGCCATAATTCTCTTACTGTAGGGCATCCGGTGACACAAAGGAAGGAAAACACCACCATTTTATTTGGCTTACGGGACAAAGATATGTGCAAAAACCAGCCCAGGGTAAGATGGCGTAGCATGTATGGCGGTGACTATGTGTGAGACGTGTGCCAGATACGACGAGCGATGAAACAGTACATTTCGAGGGTGCAGCCCGCACCCTCCATCTTTGTCACCATGGTCCTCAAAATCGACCAGTCCATTTTCGAGCCAGACATGCAGTTCAGCAAACTTTGCAGCTCAGCCTCATTGTCATGCGCGGGAGTATAAGAGTGTACTTCAACACGTGAGACTTCGAGAATAGCAGCACCAGCAGCATCATGCATCCCATTTTTTCGCTAGGGACTCCGCACCTCAGGCCTAGCTACTTTTACGACCAACCCGATTAGGGCTAGCCGCATAGAGTATCCTTGCTAAGAGACAACCTTCCGTCTGATTTATTTTCATCCATGCTCGTTCTGCATGAACCCAGGTACGAGTGTGGTGTGGACATTAGTGCGTTCGTGCGAAAGCAGTCCCTCGGTCCGAATGCCTATTTCTTCTATTGCCCCACGACGGCGACGGCGGTAGTTCTCAAAATTTGGTAAAGTATCTTGGTCTCGGCGCTTGGTTGACATGCGTGACATGCTACGTTAGTCTCGGCGCGAAATTCTCGGTCCGAAAATTCATTCCTTGCGGAAGGAGGCCATCTGAAAATCAGTGCGCTAGAAGCTTACCAAGATATACCGCATGCCTTCGGTATACCGTATACGGCTTCCTAAATTCTGCGCATCAATATCTGGCTAAGAATTAATTCCAGATGGATATTGTTGCAGGGAGCGTTGCAGCAGCATGACCAATGGCAGACGTTTTCATCTGATCATACCATCTTTTCCTCCAGTGAGGGACACTCCTCTCATATTGTGTCTCGCTGCACGGCATACCCAATGATTTTGAGAGAAAGCCTATCAACCGTGGAGCATTCCCGCAAGACAGTTGTCCGGTGGAGTTTCGAATGGCTTTTTGTTCACAGTGGGGGATGAAGTGGGATGATGTCACGCTTACTTTGCCTGAGGTCGAACCGTGAGCATTTGGAGCAGGCACTCGCACTTGCAAGACCCGGGAGATAGAGGGTATAGTGTTGGCATCAGTATTTGTTCCTACTTAGGGACGGCTTTTGACCCGGAAGCTCCCATAGTGGAGTGGCCACCGTTCGTGTACAGCGGCATCCATGACGAGCATGTGCATCCTGTCCCGAGCATCGTGCGAGATCTAGGCCTTGGCAACGTCTTACCGAGTCCGGCTGAAAGAACCGACTTGATCCGTTTGTTAGCAAAGCATTTTGTGGTGGGGACTTTCAGTGCTCTTGCATCATGCGCCCAGTTTCAAACAGTAAGGATGTGTTGATTCCTATATCTTGGCCATCTAGATCATTGTTATTGGCTTTTGTCGTGAGTTTTTGTGTTATATCGACCCAACGCGAGAGACGGAATGCGCTCGAAAGGCGCTAAGTGACATCCAGCATGGCTGATGATACAGGACCTCGGATCAACGGCAATAGCCATCAAGTTACCAATGGTAGCTCTAAAAGTCACGATCACACCTACCTCAGAGGCCGGCACCATCCTAGTAATGGCGATTTCAAGCCTGGTACTGTCCATCCCAACCTCGAGGCTACTACATCGACCCTTGACCCCATTGCCATTTGCGGTCTAGGAATTCGTCTGCCTGGAGGTGTTCGTAGTGCTGAAGACTTTTGGGACTTGTTAATCAATGGGAAAGATGCACAGGGTCCAATTCGCTCTGATCGATACAAAATCGACAGCTTCAATGGTGCCTTGGGGAAAAAGGGCGCCATCAAGACTCAGAAGGGATATTTCCTGGACGACGATCTAACGTCTCTGGATACATCTTTCTTCAGCATGAGCAAAAATGAGCTGGAAAAGTCGGACCCACAACAACGACAGCTTCTGGAGGTGACAAAGGAGTGCCTGGAAAGCGCTGGTGAGATCGACTATAGAGGTAAGATGGTTGGATGCTACGTCGGGACATTTGGCGAAGACTGGCTACAAATGAGTGCGAGAGAGACTCAGCACTCCGGAGGCTATATCTTGACCGGCCACGGCGACCTTATGATTTCCAATCGTGTCTCGTATGAGTACGATCTTCGAGGTCCTAGGTGCGTTGATGGGATCGACATCTTTTAACATTGCGCCAGCGTACACTGACATCTAGCCAGCATGGTCATCAAGACAGGTTGCTCAGCTTCGCTTGTTGCTCTCCATGAGGCATGTCGAGCATTGCATAGCGGTGATTGCAATGGAGCGATTGTTGCTGGGACAAGTCTCATCATGGGGCCGGCAACAACAGCGGCAATGACTCAGGAAGGGATTCTGTCTCCGGAAGGCTCGTGTAAAACGTTTGATGCAGCGGCGGATGGCTTTGCGCGCGCAGAAGCAATAAATGCGATCTACATTAAAAAGCTAAGTGATGCCCTCCGGGACAACAACCCGATTAGGGCTATCATTCGGAATACTGGAACGAATAGCGATGGCAAAAGCCAAGGCTTAATGACCCCTAGTAGTGAGGCCCACGAAGCTCTGATCCGAAAAGTATATTCCGATTCTGGTCTGATACCCTCGGAGACTGGCTACGTCGAGGTAAGAATTCCAGCCAAGCCTAATTCTTCATGACGTTACGAGACATTTAACAGAACTTTCAAGTGTCATGGAACAGGTACACCTACGGGAGATCCTTTGGAGGTTGCAGCTGTTGGCAGAGTATTTGGAGAGAAAGGTGTTCACATTGGCTCGGTAAGTGGGAAGATCACGAAGAGTGCTACGTCTATTAACGAAGTATAGGTGAAACCCAACGTGGGCCACTCAGAGGGTGCATCAGGTATAACAAGCCTGATTAAAGTCATACTCTGCCTGCAACATGGGACTATCCCTCCAAATATCAAGTTCAGTACCCCGAACCCTAAAAGTAAGCCTCTAGATGCTTTCGGATGACCCCGTCTAATTCCGCTAGTTAATTTCAGAGAAAGCCGTCTTGTCGTTCCGACCAAAGCCACACCTTGGCCGCAAGATCGTAGTAAGCGTGCGAGTATAAATTCGTTTGGAATAGGAGGAAGCAATGCACATGTAGGTAATTTTGCGATTCATATTATCATATCAATGCAAGCCAATGAGCTCACTCACACGGTCATAGATAATCCTAGAATCATCTGATGCATATGTTCCTACTCCACGCAAGGCATTCGAAATTGACATAGCAAGCAAGCTTCCCCAGTTACTTGTCTTTTCCGCAAATACCCAGGAGTCCCTGCGTCGGCAAGTCCTCAATAACACGACATATCTTGAAATGTATCTTGACCGGGTATTGGATATGGCTTACACCTTGAATCAACGCCGAGAACATCATGTGTATAGAACTTTCTGCACTGTTGGCGATGACAGAGCTATGGGAAAAGCCGCGGCGGTAGCAAAGGTTCCAATAGTTACGCCAGACCTTGTGATGACTTTTAGCGGTCAAGGCGCCCAGTGGCCTACGATGGGAAGAGAACTTGTACTCAAAAATTCCGAATTCCGAAGTGATATTGGAGCGATGGATAGCATACTACAGAGTTTACAGTATCCACCAGCATGGAGCATCAAAGGTTAGAACTGTCCCTTCCAGATATCGCGTACTTTACTTAGGCCATGGTCCTACTTGCCACACTCCTCGTCCTCTTTTGTTCGTTATTGGATGCTCACCAATTGTTGCAGACGAACTTTTCAAGACCAAAACAAGCCAGATTCACCGTGCTGAGATGGCGCAGCCCCTGTGTACCGCGATTCAGATAGCTCTTGTCAATGTATTTCGCAGATCTGGCATTCAGCCAGTGGCTGTTGTTGGCCATTCCAGCGGTGAAATAGCTGCGGCCTACGCAGCTCGTGCTATCTCGTTCCGCGAAGCTGTAATCATCTCTTATTACAGAGGCTATGTCGCTAAGAAACCATCAGCTGGAAGCATGGCAGCAGTCGGCCTTGGTGCGGACGCAGCGTCAAAATTTCTGAAAGAAGGCGTTGTAATCGCCTGTGAGAACAGTCCTAAGAGCATAACTCTGTCTGGGGACGTAGGACAGCTTGATAAGGTGGTAGCAGCAATCAAGGAAAGCAAGCCCGATGTGCTGGCTCGGGTACTGAAGGTAGACATGGCATACCATTCTCGTACGTGACCGGCACCGGCTATCCTCTGCCTTTTATTGCTGATCTTAGCCTCATAGATCACATGGTGTCCTTGGGTAAGGAATACCGCCGTCTCGTGGAAGAAGAACTAGCCAGAAGACATGATTCATCACTCCACACCGAAGAATTTTCCACAAGCCGACATCTTGACACCCTGTTCTTCTCGAGCGCAACAGGCGAAGTAATTGAAGATTCCGAGGCAGTGAATCCCGAATATTGGCAGAAAAATCTTACCTCTCTAGTCCGATTTGATTCGGCGGTGCGTAGAATGCTGCAGCGTCAGCGCAATAACGTGTTCCTTGAAATTGGGCCTCACTCAACTCTTGCTGGTCCACTTCGGCAGATATGCTCTGAAGTTGGGTTAGATTGCCCCTACATTCCAACGATGATTCGAAACAAAGATTGTGCGGAAACTTTGCTATCCGCTTGGGGTCAACTCTATCAGCAAGGGATTCCTTTCAGCTTTGAGCCTTTGACACGAGGCGGAAGTGTGCTCCCTAACCTTCCATCCTACCCATGGGACCATAGCGCATCGTACTGGTACGAAAGTCGGCTTTCCAAGGACTGGAGGTTTCGAGAATACGGATACCATGGCCTTCTCGGCTTACGTGTGGGAGAAAGCACAATATTTGAACCTTCATGGAGAAACGTCCTATCACTTGAGGACGAGCCGTGGCTCTACGACCATAAAATCCGAGGAGATGTAGTTTTCCCGTTCGCCGGTTATGCTGCCATGGCTGGTGAGTGTATTAGACAGGTATCTGGGATTAATAACGGCTACAGCCTGAGACATGTTGTTGTTCACTCCGCCCTAGTGCTCACAGATTCCAAATCGGTGGAGATGATTACAGTCCTCCGGCCTCATAGACTGACCGATTCAATGGACTCGGACTGGTTCGATTTTACCATTTCATCGAATTCCGGCTCGACGTGGATGAGGAATTGCGAAGGTCAAGTCAAGCCTCGTCAGGCGGATCTTGCGCGCTGTGAAAATTTTCATATTTATCCCCGCGAAGTAAATCCTTCCAGATGGTATGCAGCCATGACGCAAATTGGGTTCAATTATGGACCTGAATTTTCTGGGCTCACAAAGATCACATCTTCGACAACCGAGAACCTGAGCGTTGGGGAGATTGAAAATCCTTACCAAGAAGCACCCTATGTGTTCCATCCAACTGCAATAGACGCTTGCTTGCAGTTACTCCTCGTTGCGATGTCAAAAGGCATAGGCCGCAATTTTGGGCATGTGGCTGTGCCTACCAGAATCGAAGAGATCGAGGTAGCTCGGAGCGCATCGACGATGATGGCCAAAGCAGGGAATTTGACCGCATCGGAAGCCCCGGGGATAGATTGTGTATCAGGGGGCCGGACTTGTCTCCGCCTTCGCGGCGTGTACTTGACTCCGATGGACAATGAGGAAGATCTCGACTCAGCATGGGATCGACACGCAGCTGCTCGTTTGGAATGGGCCCCCGACTTTGACTTCTTTGACGTAGCATCCCTATTCAAGCCTCCAGAGTCGAAAATTGAAGAGACGATGCTTCAAGAAGAAATGACGTTGCTCTGCATGGTGGAATCGGCAGAGCGTCTCCGATTGCTAGAGACAGACCAATGGCACTTCCGAAAGTACCGAGACTGGCTCCACAAGGAAGTAGGCCGCGCCCAAAATGGCTTACACCCAGTGGTCAGAAACTGCAAGCAGCTCGTCAATCTAAACCCTTCAGTGCGGCGAGATCTCATAGAAGAACGCCTGAAGCAATTGTCTTCTATGGGCTCTAAGGCTGCCGTCGCCACAGGCATAAAGCGCATCAGTGACAATATCGAAGCACTCTTCACTGGAACAGCAGATACGCTTGACACTCTCATGCAAGGAGACGTCCTAACCAAGATCTACAACGTCGTCAGCTTCGGACATGGTGAGTTCGTTCGAATGCTTTCGCACACGAAGCCAAATCTTCGGGTGCTAGAAGTCGGCGCTGGGACCGGCGGGACGACCGTCTCCATTCTTGAGGATCTTGTAGACAAAGACGGATACCCTCTATACTCACTCTACTCGTTTACAGACGTCTCTGCTGGATTCTTTCCACAGGCAAAAGAAAGGTTTTCCCATGCGTCAAACATGGACTATAGGGTTTTCGACATATCACGAAATCCTATTGAGCAAGGCTTTGAAGTTGCATCTTACGACCTCATTCTCGCCCCCAATGTCGTTCACGCAACCCCATCCCTGCACGAGACCTTATGCAACCTTAGGCCTCTCTTGCGACCACATGGTCATCTAGTGCTCACAGAGCTTTCTGCCCTGGTTCGAGCTCCCAACTACATTTTCGGCAATTTCTCTGGTTGGTGGCTGGGTGAGGCGGACGGCCGGCCAGACGAGCCATATGTCTCGGTAGATCGTTGGGACCAGGAGCTCAAAGCTGCAAATTTCACTGGCGTCGATACGGCCGTCTTCGATGCTGAACAACCCTACCAGTACTGTGCTGCTATCGTCTCTCAGCCGCTCGCTGAGCTTGATGGTGGCTCTAGCAGGAGGACGATCACAATCCTTTGTGACCAAGAAACCAATGAGATCACCAAAAACCTTGTTGCGGAGATTGAATTATTAGGAATAGACTATTTGCTTTCTAAATTTGGTGATCGCCCCCCACAAGGGGAATGCATCATCACTACAATCGACTTAGAGTCGTGTTTCTTCGAGAATATTTCAGAGAATAAGTTCAGAGCCTTCCAAGACTTACTTTCTGAACAGCATCATCGAACGATTCTCTGGCTAACTAGGCCCTCCCAAATTCTTTGCGATGACCCTCGCTCAGCGCAAACAGTTGGCGTTGCACGGACAATTCGTTCAGAGTTAGCTCTGTCTTTCGTGACGCTTGAGATCGATCCAAGAGAAAAGGAGTTTGGAAAAAAGGTCATGCAGGTTTTTGGAAAGATCACAAGTAGAAAAGACGATGGTACACTCGCGCCGGACCCGGAGTATGCAGTCGATGACGGCGTCATCAAGGTTGGAAGATATCATCCGTTCTCCCTTCAGAAAGAGCTAGGCCAGAAAAGTAGCCTCACAGCTACAGACTGTGCAATGACCCTTGAGATCATGAAGCCTGGTCTGATGCAGACTTTCCAATGGTCTGAGAAAGCTACGCCGGTGGGACTGGGAAAAGGTGAAGTCGAGATCCAAACCGCGGCTGTTGGATTGAACTTTAGGGTGAGTCAACCTTTCCCTTGCTATCATGGTCTACTCAGTAATGCTTCAGGACGTGCTACTCGCCATGGGGATTTCGGGTTACGGCCTCGAGGGGTTTCCCCTCGGTATTGATACTACTGGCGTGATCCGGAGAGTTGGATCCAATGTTCGCAACGTTGCCGTGGGCGACAGAATCTTTGCGCTTGCGCCTCACGGCTGCATCACAGATAGGCTGGTTCTTCCCTGTTCGCTCGCTGTCAAGCTGCCGGACGACTTGACTTTCGAAGATGCCGCAACCATGCCTTGTTGCTTTGCAACAGCGATATACTCCTTGCTCAATGTCGGTGGGATGATGAAAGGACAGGTAAGTGTTCCCCTGCTCTCACTCAAACCAAGCCCAGCCTTGAGAACAACGTATCTCAACTTGTACAAACGCTGGTAAGCTCCTACTGATTAGGCTTTCCAGACTGTTTTGATCCATTCAGCCGCTGGTGGAGTTGGACACGCTGCTTTACAGATCTGTAAAATGATGGACGCTGAGGTATGAGGTTCCTTTGATCTACGAACGACTACCATCTCACACAATAAGGTTTACGCAACTGTGGGCAACGATGAAAAGGTCAAGCATTTGATGGACAACCTCCAGCTTCCCAGAAATCACATTTTTAACTCACGAGATCACTCGTTCCTTCCAGATTTGATGCGTGAGACAGAAGGTAGAGGGGTGGACCTCGTTCTTAATTCGCTTTCAGGCGAACTCCTCCATGCATCATGGAAATGCGTAGCCGAATTCGGCAAGCTTATAGAACTTGGAAAACGGGACATTTTGGGCTTCGGCAAGCTCGAGATGGACATCTTCGGGGCAAATCGTTCTTATTGTTGTGTGGACATTGCGCATCTCATTCGGGATAGGCCCGAGCGGATGGCAGGGTAAGCCAACCGCCGTCAAGACATCTTGATGACATGGTGTTGCAATGCTGATATCCCACTCCAGAGTTTTGAAGGAAACCTTGAAGCTGTACCAACAGGGCCATGTGACTCCAATCAGACCCTTTCTCACGTATGAGGCTGGAGATGCCACGGAGGCGTTCAGAGTTCTGCAAAACGGGGATCACATTGGCAAAGTGATCTTGAGAATGCCACAGGACAACTCCATAATATCAAGCGTTCGATCTGCCAGTACTCTTACGCTGGACCCCAAGGGTTCGTACTTTCTAGCGGGAGGTCTGGGAGGACTTGGTAGATCAATTGCGACTTGGATGGTTGAGCATGGCGCTCGGAGTCTCATATTCCTTTCTCGCACTGCAGGCCTCAACGAAAGCGACCAGACTTTCCTCAAGGAGCTCGAGAGTATGGGATGCGTCGTTGCTGCCGTTGCTGGTATGACTCAGAATATGGAAGACGTGGTAGCAGCCATATCGTCAGCACCCGGCCCTATCAAAGGTGTCATACAGCTCGCGATGGTTCTAAGGGTATGTCACCTGTCTTCCGACAACCGAAGAGTAGCCCCACTAACCCAAGCCCAGGACAAACCCATCGTCAACATGAGCCACGAAGAATGGGTGACAGCAAGCTTGCCCAAAGTAGACGGCACCTGGAACCTCCACAACGCCCTCGCGGACCAACCTCTCGATTTCTTCTTCATGTCCAGCTCCACGGTCACAATCGTCAACCAACCGGGCCAAGGCAACTACAACGCCGCCAACACCTTCCTCGAAGCCTTCTGCCAGTACCGGCACAGCCTCGGCCTGCCCGCCTCCGTGCTCAACATCTGCCCCATCGACGACGTCGGCTTCGTGGCCGCGAACCCCGCCACGCGCAAGAGCCTGAAGGCCCAAGGCCACCACTTCCTCCGGGAGCAAGCCCTCCTCGACTACCTGCACCTCTCCCTCCTCAACTCGCAGCCCCCAGCCGGCACCACCGCGCGCGGGAGATCGCCCACCGCCACCGCGGTGTCCGCGTGGGAGAACAAGGGCCAGATCGTCATGGGGCTCCGCTCGGACCTGCACCCGGACGACCCGGCCAACCGCACCCACTGGCGCCGCGACCGCCGCATGGGCCTCTACCACAACATCCGGAACGCCAACACGGTCGACCACGCCGGCGGCGGCGACGACAACCGGCTCACGCGGTTCCTGCTGCGCTGCGCCGATGACCCGGACCTGCTGGCCGCCGGGGCCGAGGGCGAGGGCCTGCTGGCGCGGGAGATCGGCCTCAAGGTGTTCGGCCTCGTGCTCCGGGACGCGGGGGACGTGGACGTCGGGATGACGCTCGGGGCCGTCGGGGTGGATTCGCTCATGGCGATCGAGCTGCGCCGGTGGTGGAAGCGGGCGTTCGGGCTGGAGATCAGCGTCCTGGAGATCATGGGCTTGGGCACGATCAGGGAGTTGAGCAAGGTGGCGGCGCAAAGGTTGAAGGTGAAGCTTGGAGGGGCTGCTGCGACCTAGGTGGGGATACCAGGCTTTGAGTCTTCAGGCCCTGAGAGCAAGTGGTAAGGGAGAGTATGTAGCAGAAGTCATGCATATAGGGAGAATTCTGCGGGCGAAAACCTTGAAATTTCCAAGTCCTACTAAGGAGAGAATCGAAAATTTCCGAGTCCCACAGTGCAACCGGCAAACATGCCGCAGTGGGACTTAGAAACTTTGGATTTCCCCATATGCATAACTTTCTGCTACATACTCTTACTACTGGTCCAATCACAGATGTGCACGTAAGCTCTAAGCCCAAAGGTCCACGTCCCCCTTGGATCCGTGAGTTGTGTGCCTTGCCTGGGCAATCTCTTTTCCTACGGCGAGCATGCGCCCTGCCATCTACTTGACACTCATCCCGGACAACCCATATGCCATTCACCTCAACCCTGTCATTAATCAAAGACCTTTTCATAACATCAGCCACTCGTAAAGAGCTTAGTCTTCGGCAGAAAAACGGCCAGTAAAATCACTGTAGCCCCCGCAACGATGACGACGACATAAACGTCACCCAACGCCTTCACTATCCCTTCCGTAACGCTTCCCCTTTCCGCAGGACTGAGACTGGCAAAGTACGCGCTATCGGTACCGGTGATTGCGGAGCGTAGACCGGAGATGTCGACGCCGGGGAGGATCGAGACCACGTTACTGACAGCGCGGTTTTGGAATATTGCGCCTGCGATGGCGAGGGAGATTACTATGCCAATCGATTGTCCTAAACGGCTCTGTGTTAATTCCTTCTTTTTCCATGGACGAAGGAAAGAAGGGATCTGTACCAAAGCTCATGAATCCCACCGCGTCGGTAATCTCCTCTGGTTCCAACAGCGCCTGAGTCACGCTGAATCCGGCTTGCAAGAAGGATCCCGCGCCCGCCCCGATTAGGACCGTGTACCCGTAGACGGCGGAGGTCAAGGTTGTTGCAGTGACGGTGTCTGGATTGCTCGGTCAGCTGGGGGATCGAGTACTCAGAAAAGCGAAGACGGGAGTAAGATTACACATCAGAGCAGAGCCGATGAGCACGAGTGCGCCGCCGAATAGATACCATGGCATGTAGTAGCCAAGCTTCGCCATCAAAGACCCATTTATGATGACGAATATCACAACCATAATAACGAAGGGGAGGAGATGAACCGCGGAGCCGAGTGCTGAGGAACCCTGGGTGGTTTTAGTGTCTTGGCTGTAGAATGGTGAAGGCAGAAGCTTACCTTAGCGAATTGGTAGAAGAGCGGTATGTAGTATACTGGGATCTAGACTTGTTTTTAGCGTGGGCTGAGCGTTCAAGGATGGAAAGTATGACTTACTAGCAAGCTCACAGAGGACATGAAAACCGCAAGTTGCAGCATCACCATCACGGGTCGTCGGAGGAATATGGTAGGATAAAGCTTGTGTTGTGCGTTGACCAAGGGATGAAAGGCCTGGGTCAGACAAAAGACAAGGAACAACACTCCTGCCACGACCCAGAGTGCAATCTCGCTAGCGGAGCTCCAGGAGAAGAGGCTGCCACCGAAGGTTATGGCGAGGGTGAAACAACATATGCCTCCAATAAAAAAGAGGTTGCCGAGCCAATCGAAGTTCCGGACCAGTCGCTGCCGTAACGGAACATCTTTTTGAAGATCGAGGCTTGGTAAGAGGAACAGATAGACGGGAGCAAAAACAGCGCCAACAACGAGGTTGATGTAGAACGCCTAGTCGACGTTACTTGATGTGGAACGAGCAAATGATCTCGCTGGAATTACCCATCGCCACGTCGCATTGCTGTCGATGAAGGCTCCACCAATCTATCACTCCTCAGTCTCTTGCCGCGTCTTGGCGATGTTGTTGACTCACAACTGGACCTAGAATTGTTCCGAGTCCCCTGTAATCTTATAAGTATAGCAAATTTCACTAAAGGCTAGCCACCTACCACACCAATCCTATCAGTCCCATATAGATCGGTCTTTCTTGAACGGTCGTCAAAATGGACACGTATGTCAAGCAACCAACGTACATCCCGCTCGCCTACTGTTCTCAGTCACACTTTCATCTGAAGTCGCGAATCTTTGACACATACGCCAAAACCACTGTTGTTGGCATTGTGGGTCAACTAAGAACGGCCGATTTGAAGGTAATTCTACTCACGCGATTGCTCTACCCACTATCAGAGCGTTCATATCTGGTGCTCCGCCGCATAACGCGCTCCCGGTTTCGAAGACGATGACGTGCGATATGTACAGCCATTTGACGTTCAGGACCCCATATGCTTTGCTCCTATGGTAGTTCAGCTCCGTTCTGCTTGAGAACAGGACTAGCGTACCAGGGTAGGATGGTGCTTGCCGAGCCCAGCGCGAAGGCTGTCCCCAGCCATGATAGCTTGGAGACTTCGCCAAACTCCTTAATGATGCTAGGTTGAACGTTGGCAACCTTGTGCGGCCGTTTGTTAGCATAAAGCTATACAACGTGGCTGGTCTTGTCGTACGATTGTCGTGTCCAAACTGAACAGCAGTGTTGTCGACAGGATTGCCGTTATAGTCATCAGCCACTGGTGATCGTAAGTGACATTGCTGTGATCTAACATGGTTCCGCTCATGTGTGGCCGAGTTACCTTTACGCCATGAAGATTGCGTGGTGAGCTCTCTCCAGCATTGGGATCAACGTCGTTCAAAGACTGCTTTCCCGCGTCTGACTGGGTATCGTTCGGAGACCGCTCCACGGTCTTCTCGTTATGCAAAGGAGAGTCAGACATATTGAAAAAATATCAAGCCGAGAAGAAAAGAGGTCACACGCCTTGAAGTTTGAAACTCCGAGCATTCGTTGCGTGACGACACTTACGTTTACTCGTAGATTGCACGACATGGAACTGCATAATGCGTGATACAAGCATGCATGCACCTTGTAGCGTCTTGCAAACTCTAGACCCTAGTTACGGGATTTAAGGAATCTAGCACCACACTAGACCAAGAAACATGTGCTATATTAAAACGCCGATGCGAGCTTCCAGCAAAATTTTCGGTCCGATGCAGTCAGCTCCACTATGAGCCCTGCGTAAGTGCAGGATCAGGGATGGAATCATTGGATAGTCGGCACTTCTTGACCTGCGTAACACCTTATAATGGAATGTACGAGCGGTATCATATCATCAGCAAAGACGGCCGGTTGACAAACTTCCAGCAACGCAGGGTGCATACTCAGATACCCGAAGAAGAAATAGATGCCCGAGGAAGGAATCGTTTCCTCAGCTCCGTACGTGACGCTTCGAGCGCTCCGGCCGAGGAGGGGGCAGCAACCAAAGAGAGCGACCATTTGTTGCATTGGTTCTGATTTCTTGCGCCATCAGCATCTCATCATATTCCGTCGGGACCGTTAGTTGCCAGTCACTTTCAACCTGAAAGATGCAGAGTCAAGATCGCACTATATAAAATTTGAAGCATGGAGGAAACTAAGCTCAGGCCATTCAAGGTCGTCATTGTGGGAGCTGGCCTTTCCGGTCTCCTGCTGGCTCATCTCCTTACCCAAGCCAGCATAGACTTCGTCATCCTAGAAGCACACAAGAATGTGGTTCATCCAGCCGGTGGAAGCTTTGGCTGTTGGCCGAACGCTGCGAGGATTTTAGACCAGGCAGGTATTTGGGAAAGTGTAGAGAAGAGCGGCGCCCCCATGGGGCTCAACTACATCCGCAAGCCCAATGGCTCAGCGTTTATCACGAGCAGCTTATCTAGCAAGATCGCCTCCGTGTAAGTGCATACTCATATCACTTGATATTGAAGCCATAACTCTAGACCAGGTACGGATATGATTTCCGAATCCTCGAAAGATATCGGTACCATCAGATTCTGTACGAGAATCTTCCAGACAAGTCGAAACTTTGGACTGGCAAGCGAGTAACAGACATTATCGAAGACTGTAACGGCGTCCGAGTTGTTTTCGAAAATGGAAGTTGCCAAGGAGACATTGTTGCCGGCTGCGATGGTGTTCATAGTGTCGTACGCCAGATCATGTGGGAAAAGGCCAACAAGCTGTCGCCGGGTTTGATAAGTGCCAGAGAGAAAAGATGTCAGTAGCCAAAGAATTTTGATACAATGAATCGCTACTCACCTGGCTGGGTAGCTCTTACTTCCTCTTACCGCTGTCTGGTTGGAGCAGCTCCGGCCATTGCCGGCATTGGCGCAAATGAATCCAATATGATACAGAATCAAGGAGTCTACATGGTGATCGTGAGCCAGCCTGGTCAAACACTATTCTTCGTTTGCATTAAAGAAGCCAACGTATCGCATTGGCCGCAAAGATCTCATTTCACCAAAGAGGATGCCGAAAAGGAAGCAGCCAAGATTGCCGATCGACCAGTCACGGCACATGTCCTATTTGGAGAGATCTGGATGAAGCGCACTCGGGGCTATTTGACATCCCTTGAGGACGGCGTTTTTGAGCACTGGTTCTTCAATCGCATCGTGCTGGTGGGTGACTCTGCACACAAGGTAGGTCGTATTGAAAGCTGAAGTCGGCGATACTTGGACTGACTTGGGTACTGTAGATGTCACCCATCGGAGCACATGGAGGTAATTGTGCAATTGAAAGTGTGGCTGCTTTAGCCAATTCTTTGGATCGCCACCTGCGTCTCTGTTCTGACACGAGTGCCAACAGCAAGACCATTCAGTCTATCTTCGAAACGTATCAGAGAACGAGAGAGGCACGCGTGCGGAAATTCGCTGGCTCTGTCCACCTCATGACAAGACTAGTGACATGGGATGGTTATACAAAGAAATTTGTGGCACGATATGTGCTGCCGTGGTTGAACGAGGTTACTTTTGTAGGCAAGCTGATCAAAGACGCGGTGAAAGTTGACTTCCTTCCAATACCGAGCCGGTCGAAGGGATTCTTCGACCAAACCAGCGACGAGGGTAAGCGATAGACCCAAATCCAGAGCAGACGCTTGGGGTTGACAATGATGATGCATGCTGCTTACTGAAAATGATTGCATGCACACTTCTGCATGCTCCAAGAAAGTGCGTCTCTTTGTTAGTAAGTGCGCCAGATGCAAGCTGAACACATTGGGAAGGAGCCTTACGCAATGGCTTAGATGGGTTTGGGGCCAAACTGTTTTCTGCTGCAAGAGCGAGGCAAATATTGGACAAGGGCATGAATTCCCCTGGCCCGCTAGTCTTATCTTGGCTTAGTGTCACGGAATCACTTTTGTCGGTGGGTATTCCGATAAGATCGTACCTTACTTTGAAGTAAGGTTATAAGGTTCATCCTTGTTAAGTAAGCGGGATAAGGTAATAATTAGGGCTACTTTATGTTCAAATCCACATAAATATCAAGTGAGCTGATTGCCTCAAGTTATCACAGAAAGCAACAACTTTCGACGGCGGTCTAAGTAAAGTGCAGGGTAATTGCAAGGTATGGAGGTTTAAGCGCCTCGTTTTGATTCGCACCATGAAAGATTGGCGAAGGGTATAAGGGATGGCCCGAATACATACTCGCAACACTTTGTCCTTTTCTTTTAATACTTTCATCCTCTGGCATCAACTACTCTATGCATCTGCAAGCAAGGTCAGGTATGTTGAAAAAGCGGTTGATAAGGTCATTTTAACCCAATCGCATCTTCCCTTTTCGCATCCGACCAGCTCTAATGCAAGCCCACACGGATCCGATGCGACCGCACACCACCATTCCGCCCATCTCGAATCCTTCAGCTTGGACTTTGGCTTGATGGTGTGTACAAGTACATACACTCGATGCCTTAATCCCGCCTGGTGAAACCTGCAAGCAGCTGCCTGACTGGGAGAATAAACGAGTCCCTCTCCCCGCCAAGGCTCATCCCGTTTTCCCTTCCCTTCCCTCTACCTCCCTTCCCATGCCCTTCCTTTCCTGCCCCTCATTCCCCATTCCCTGCCCCTCCTTCAAAACCATGTCTTGGCCGCCGAGTTTTGCCAAAAGGTTGCAATTTCACAATGTAACCCCAACCTCTGCATCATGCCGCCGAAACTCCGCGCTTCGTGCGACGCATGCCATTCTGCAAAGATCAAATGCATAAAAACGGACTTCGGCTGTCAACGGTGTGACAACTCGGCGGGAGAGCTCGCCTGCAAGTACAGTCCGGTTGTGCCGCGTATCTACCACAAGAAGAGTAATCGCAATCACGTGGAAGAATCTCAGATCTCGCGGCCATCACCACCTAGCGAGTCTTCGTTGTCACACGACCTATATGGCACACAGGCTGCCTTTAACCAAGACATATATCCAGCAGCAATAATTCCGCCGTGTGCTTTTGATCAGCAAGTTTACAGCATTGGTGCAAATGCTGAGCCGAACCCATTCTTCTGGCAGTATCTACCGCAGGGCTCAGTAGGAGTGCCTCAAAATCCGAATTCGTGGCCCAGCAGCATCAATGGTACATCTACCACGACTAACACACCAAACTTGACAGACGCTGCTACTCCCGCTACCGCAGCTTCTACAAATCCCGTGCTGCCTCCCACCAACCAGCCCCGAGCTAGCAATACGCAAAACCTCCGGCACTATCACTCAGCCGCTCCTTCCACGTACTCCCCGGAGAGTGTGCTGGCAAGAACATCATGCAACTGCTTCACTCAGCTTTTCGAAGCTATGCAACGTATGAACGCTCATGCGGCTAGTTGCAGCCCCAAACTCGACGTCGTCCTCTGTGCCAATCGAACAGCGGCGGAAAATTGCCTCACAAGTCTGCAGTGCTCAAACCCTTTCAGACCGGTTTCCCACGACAGCGTAAGTAGTTGTGCAACCATCGCGTGCGGCTTACTCGACCGCATTTTGGCCTCATATCAAGCTGCGTTGGAGATCTTCTGTGCGAGCTTAGATTGCGAAAGGACAAAGGGGTCGGAGGAGCATGGTGACGAGAGAATTGGAGAGCATGAGGACGACGAAGACGAGAGGACGACCGCACACACAACGACTGTACAATTAAGGTTCGGAACGTTTGCTTTGGAGAGAAGCGAACAGGTTCTTTGGGCGAGGAAGGTTGTAGCGAGGGAGGCTGGAAGGATCCAGGAGACGTTGGAGGGATTCGAAGTCGAGGGCCAGGGCGTTCGGAGCGTCCTCCGGACTCATCTGTTGGAGAGGTGTAAAAGTGTGATTGAGAGAGTCTCCGGCAGCTGAAAGAGATCAATGTGCATGTCTTGGCAGGGCTGTCGTTTCTTGGATCACTTTAAGGAACTTTGAGAATCGAATTCCGGGTACGGAGTAGACGGTGCCCAAATCCTACGCGAGCTTCAAGTACGGTCGAGCAAGAAAGAGCTCTTTACAAAAAGCCCACAGATCACCCACGAACGAAGCCATGACGACACTCTCAACGCCGCAATCCAACAACTCTAGCCAACCTCGTAACCAAATGGTTTCCAACAAACCAGTAGCATCCTTTAAACACTCATATGACCGCAGAAACCAAGACCTCGAAATCCCCCGCCACATGACCGACAGCTCGCCTCGCCAGGACAGACGGAATTCGTTCAATACCGCGCGCGCACTCTGCAACCCCTCTGTTCGTTCATTGAACGATATAGGTAGGGCGTGCACAGCATCTCAAGTGAACAGTAGAGTAGAGTAGTGTGTAAATGCCGCCCGGGCTGCATGAAAGAGGTATCCGCAGGACACGGCGATGTGGGGGGGTGGGGGGAAGCGGGGCGTTTGGATGACAACCTACATGGAGCTTTAGACGGGGCCGTGAGACGCATGCAGAATGAGCGAGGTAAGTTGGAAACACGGATGCCCGCTAGCACCCAGAAAACATCATGTTAGTGTCACCAGCGACCACACGGTACCGTTGCGCTGTGCCCGAACCACCCATATTTGGATGTCATTGTTCGCTAGCACAAGTGTTGGTGGAGCTGAAAAGGCTGGGCGATCGCACCGCTTACGAATCAAGTAAAGTACGAGTACGTCGGTTCTGACAGGCTGATTTTTTTGCTGCAACCTTTTTCCCCAAACCCATCGAATTTGTACCTATATACTTATATACCTACCTAAATGATTTCCCGACGACCCCCACCCCCCCACTACCTCCGTCTCGAACCCCGATCGAAAATCCCGCCGGCGTTAACGTCTCGGTCCTCGCCGGGTTACAGCTCGGCAGGGGTGAAAGCCTGGCTCCGAAACGCCGACGACGGTTTCATCTCATGCACGTTTTTTTTCCATGACTCCGAACTTATGCGACTGAGACCCGCACCGCTGGGGTCTTCATGGCACCTCCGAAGTGATGCGATACGATCCAATAAGCGCGGGATTTACGACCGGCACCTTTTGGGCGAAAGCGTTGCCTCGGCAGACGGAGGAGAATGGTTTTGAGTTGAGCGACTATCCCAAATGGTCATCGGGTCCATAGAAGGTGTCTCTAGAATGTAGTGAGAGACGAGTTGTGCTACCTGCTTTGATAGTGTTTCCACCCAAATGCCATTGTCCCTTACTTCTTCAGCCCGGCTGCAATCTCCCTCACATCTGGCCAACCACTTGTATCCACTCCTACGTAGATTTCGGGTTCAGTACACAAATGGGGTAAGTAAGTGGCAAGGAAGCCATCCAAAAGGTACGTACCTGACCATTTCGCAACAAGCTCTCCGCATTCCGTGACTCCCTCGATCTCTTCCACGCTCAAGCCCATGCCCAACAGTCCGCCGAGGTGATTGTGGATCGTGACCTGTAATCCTTGACACATGATAGCCGTATACGTAATCAACTCCGTATCCACAAACCCCAGAATCGTGTCATCACCATAAAACATGCCGTATACAATTTCCTTGGTCAGCCATTCCGAGTCCTTACCCCAGCTTTTCCACATAGCTTCCATCTGCTCTTCGGTGTAGAGATAGCGAAGGAATTGAGTGCCACGCTCGCGGTTAGCTGGGGTAAGGGCAGCGTGAGATCTGAATACAGCCTCGTCAGGTTTTCGGCATGGGAAAGAGGACGAGGTTTACGGCCGATAATTGACTTTTAATCGTAGAGGCCGTAGAGGTGCAGAGAGAAAAAGCGCAACATACTTGGTAAAGCTCAAATCAGCATCCCCAGGCTTCTCCTCTTTGATCAAAGAGAATAGAGCAACAGCACTCTTAGGTACGCCTATGGTGACCCATTGTTTCATCAGAAACTCTCGCAGTCGTCTATTGAGAGCTTGCCGCTTTTCAAGGGCTTGATATTCCCCTTGCGCTGTCAAATAGGTCCAGAGCTGGGCGAAGTTTGTGGGGTTAGAATTCGTGATGAGGGAGGATGCCTGAGTTCTATCAGCCGATCGTTTTTCGAAAGCAGGGGAAGGCAAAGCCCAGTCAAGGGATGTTGCTTACAGCAACAAGGTACCATCTGTCAGGTCCAAGGGATTCGGGGAACTTGGCCTTAACAGCATCGAAGAGTTGAGGGAGTGATTCAGGCTTGGCTGCCATTGTAGGGCAAGCGAGGCTGCAGACGATTGCAGGCGCTGAAGTTGCTACGATTTGATGAAGAAGGGGCTATTGTTAGAGCAGTATGGCGACTCTTTGAAAGCGGAAGAGGTTTGGAAATGATGAACGGACAATCAATGTAAGAGTGGGATAGTGTGATGAAGGGATGCTCAAGGAAGACCGGAAGACCACTGGGATGTTTGCTAAGCCCCGCACCCGGCCCCCCGCCGCTCGGGTTACAGCTCGGCAGGGGTGAAAAAAAGTTCGGCAGGGGTGAGTAGATGCTGAGTATATGCACCTCATCCGAGGTGAAAGGGATACACTCAGCATATGCCAGCACCTCATCGGGGGTGAAGAAAATTAAATTCAGTCCAGCGATTTTCACGTGTGCGAGATACGGGAATCTCTATCTATATATAAGATATACGGAGCTAATACTTAGCATATATAGATTTATTAAATAGTATATTTATTAATATAATTATTTATAATAAAGAGTTACTTACTTATTATATTAATTAGAAATAAAAAAGTTAATAGCATATGCTTAGTATATACCTCTATCCCCCTCTTAAAGTATCGATATTATCTTTAACCCGGCTCGAGTTTATCGAGGATAAAACGGATACCTTTAGTATATACTATAAGTTCATCCGAGGTAAAGCGAGCATATGCCGAAGCTTCACCCCTGCCGAACTTTTTTTCACCTCTGCCGAGCTGTAACCCGAGCTCGGCAGGGGGGAAAAAAAGTTCGGCAGAGGTGAGTAGATGCTAAGTATATGTACCTCGTTCGAGATAAAACAAATACACTCAGTATATATCAGCACCTCATCGAGGATAAAGAAAATTAAATTTAATCTAGCGATATTAACTCGCGTGAGATAACTTACTTATAATAAAATTATATATTCAATATATACTTCGCTTTTATTATATAATATTAATTTTTTAAATTCTTATTTATAATCTTTATAGCGAAAAGTAAATTATAAAGATTAAGATATATATATAATACATATTTAAATTTCTCTCTAAAGTACTAATATTATTTTAAATTTATTTTAAATTTATTTTAGATTTATTTAAATTAAAATGAATATATTTAATAGATATTATAAGTTTATTCGAGATAAAGCGAGTATATATTAAAGCTTTATCTCTATTAAACTTTTTTTATCTCTATTAAACTATAATCTATACTTTCTTTACTTTAAATTATAACTCGATAGAGATAAAAAAAATCGATAGAAGTAAAGCTTTAATATATACTTAATTTATCTTAGATAAATTTATAGTATATATTAAATATATTCGTTTTATTTCGAATAAACTTATAGCTTATAGCTCGATAGAGATAAAGAAAAGTTTAATAAAAGTAAGTAGATATTAAGTATATATATCTTATTTAAAATAAAATAAATATACTTTATATATATTAATATCTTATCGAGAATAAAGAAAATTTAATTTAATCTAGCGATATTAACTCGCGTAAGATAACTTATTTATAATAAAAGTATATACTTAATATATACTTCGCTTTTATTATATAATATTAATTTCTTAAATCTTTATTTACGATCTCTTAATCTTTATAGTTCTAGAATCTATTACTCGTATATATTCGAAAGTATTCGATATCTAATATTATCTAATTTTAAATTCGATAAATTCAAGAGTAAAGTTTAAGAAATATTCTCTCGAAAACTTATCTCGAGCTTATCGCGATATAGAGCTTATAGAATTTAAATAGAATTTATTATATTTAATATTTAACGTTATTAATATAACTATAATTTATAAGATTCTTAAAGCTTTAGAAATCTTATTTTATATTCTATTATTTAAATTTTTTAGTCTTTTTATATTACTATTATAAAAGAATAAATTATTAAAATAACTTTTAAATCGTATATTATTAGATATCGAGTACTTTCGAGTATATACGAGTACGCGCTTACTTTTAATATAGATTTATTATATAGTTAATAAGTTTAAGTCTATAAATTAAATTTATAAAAAGAAATTTATTTTTAAATCTAATTTCGAGACTAAATTCGATTCTCGAACTTCGAAGAGTAAAAATATTTAATTTAAGATTTACTTAGAATTATAAAATTAAATTTTAAGAAATTTAAATTATTAGAAAGTATAAATTAATTTCTATAATTTTAAAAAAAAGTAGTAAAATTTTAATAGAAAAAAGAGAAGTTATATTAATAATAGATTTCTAGAAAATTAATTAACTTTAAATTAATTTAAATTTAATTAATAAGAAGTTAATTTTAATATCTATTATAATCTTTTTATTTTAATTACTATTATTATTATTTTATATTTTATAAATTTTTTATTAGTTTTATAATTTTTACGAATTCTACGATTCTACGATTTTACGATTTTTTAGCGAGAGAGATTAATAAATTTAAATCGATAATAAAGCGAAATAGTTTCGAAATTTATTAAAATTATTACTACTCGACTATTTAAGTTTATATAAAAGAGTATTCTTAATAAAATAAATAAGTTTTTAATAAGCGATATTTAAATCCTCTATCTTTAAATATTTTTGATATGAAATTTAGAAAATCTTTATTTATCTAAAAGCCTATATTTTATTTTATAATTTAAAAAAAAAGCTTACAATTTTAATAGAAAATAAAAAAGCTATTTTTAAAATTAAATAATATATATCTAATTAAGACTATTCGACTATCGAGCGAACTTTAATAAGCGATATTTAAATTTCTTACGCTTTAATAATTATAAGACTAAATTTAAAAACTCTTTTTTTATTTAAAAGTCTATATTTTATTCTATAATTTTAAAAAAAATCTTAAAATTTAAATAGAAAATAAAAAAGTTATTCTATTTATAAATAACGTATATCTATTTTTTTTAATAAGAGGCCTTAAGAGAATTAGCGAGTTAAATTAGTCGTTTTAATTAAAGAGCGTAGCGAACTTAAATTTATAATTAACTATATATATAAATTTAAGATTTTATAACTAAGATAAGCGATATATTTAAAGTACGCTTACTACGATAAATAATAGAAGATAAAGTATTTAAGAAATATAAGTAAGATATAGTTAATACTATAGCGAAGAAATATAAGAGAAATAAAGATAAAAGTAAAGTATAGAAGAAAGAGAAAATATATATAATAAAGAAGAGAGATATAATAAAGAAGGCGATATTATAATTAAATATATTATAAAAAAGTCTTAATATAGAAATTATAAGAGAAAATATATTAATTTAAATTAAGATAGTAATTATATTTTTAAAAATTATTAAAAATATATTATTTAAGAATTTAAACGCGTTTATTTAAAAGATTTTTAGAGATAATATAAATTAGATAATAGCGTTTATATAGAAAAGAGAATATTATTAAAAAGATTATTAAGAAAGAAGTAAATTAGAAAGCTTATAGGCGTTAATAAATAGTTAGAAAAGTATATTAATAAGAGAAATCTTCTTTATAAATAGTTAAGATAGAGATAATATATTTAATAATATATTTAGAAATTTAATAGAAAATTTAATAGAAAATTTAATAATAATTTAATTAATATCTAATATAGTTATAATAGAAAATTTAGAAAGAATAAAATAGTTAATAATAAGATTAAAAAGAAAAAAAAGAGAAAATTTATATAAAAAATAATTAATAAGTATTTATTAGCGACGTTTAAAGATAGATAATATATATATAAAGTAAATTATAGCTATAAATAGAATAAAGAATATAAATTTAATAATAAGTGTAATAATAAAAAAGGCTAAAGAGATATTAAAATATAATATTATATAAGTAAAGAAGATATATTAATTAATTAAGATCGTTAGAAAATTATTCTTAATAATAATATATAGAATATATATTATAATATTTAATATAAAGAATTAGATAGTAATTAAGAGAAAGATTAAAGATAATAATAAAAATTAATATTTAAAATTATTAATTATTAAAATATATTAAATAGATAATTTTTCAAATAATAATAATAATAGAGAAAAAGTAGAAATATTATTTCTTATTAATTATTAATATTAATAATTTAGAAATAATAAATTAATTAATTATAAATAATATAATAGAAAGTAATAAGATAAAGGAAATTAAGAGATATAATTAGATAATCTTATTAATCTAATACTTTAAATATTAAGAATATAAATATATATTTATATTATATAATAATAAGATTTAATATATAAGATATAATTAGATATATAATATTTAAAACTATAAAAAGCTAATATTTATAATTTTAAGAATTTATATTTTATATAAAGAGAAAGAATATATAGTTTTAAATAAAAGCTATTTATTAAAGACTAGAGAGAAATAAAGAATTATATAAAGAATAACTTATAAAGTCTTACTCTATAAATATTTAAAAATATTATTAATAAATCTTATTAAGATTATGATAGAATTTATATTAATAATATTTAAAAAGAAATAAAAGATATTAATCGATATAATTAATTTATATAAAGATTTTAATATTATAATAGATAAAATATTATAATTAAAAATAAAAATAAAAAGATTAAGATTATTTATAGCTTTCTATTAAGAGAGAGATTAAAAGATTTTTATTAATATAAAATTTATTAAAAGTATTAAAGTTTTATTAATAGAGATAATAATAGCTATAATAATCGAATAGATTATAGATTAAAAAAATTTAATTAAGATTTTAATTAAGAAGATTATTATAATATAAATCTTATAATTAAAGATCTTATATTAGAATATTAATAAATAAAATTTTTACAATATAATATTAGAAAAGAATTATAAATAATAATAATTTTATTTATAAATTAAGTAATTTAGAAGATTAATATTCTAACTATTTAGAAATTATACTTTATAAAATATAATAAATTCTTATATAATTCTAATATTAGCGTTTTTAATCTAGCGTATTAATTTAAAAAGAATATAAGAATTTATTTTTATATTAATAAAAAGTTTAACTAAAATTAATAAGAGATTAAATATTTATTAAGAGATATATATATATTAAGAATATAGCTAAAGAAGAATAATAGCGAGAATTAATTAAGATTAATCTTTATTTATAATATATATAACTTAAGCTCGATATTAATTAATAAAAGTAATTTCTTTAATTTAATTATAATTAAGAAATAATTAAATAATTAAAAAAAGTATATTCTACTTAATAACTTTAATCTATATTATCTTAATTAAAATAATTTAGAAAGATATATATATTATAAAAAGGTAAATAGTTTAATAGCTATAATTATAGTTAGAGATATAGATATTTTATTATTAGATTACGCGACTTCGAATCTACGCTCTGCGTCTACCAGCTACTGCGATGGTATTCGGATCTCTACACGGGACCCGCGACCAAGATTGTCTTCTTCTCGGCCTGCAGCGTGCGGGATTCTAAGGCTGATGCAGGCCTGGACCGAGAGGTACCGAAAAACTCTCCATTTGATAGGCCAAGTCTGAGCTCGACGTTATTCCTTGCCTCGTGGACAGCCCCCCTCAACGAAGCCCAGATTCCTTCACGCCTTCTTCCCCTCCCCATCATCCCGTCTCTTTAATCTCACATTCAACCCAGTCTGGTTCACAAACCACCTATTCTCCACACGCCACCCCGGGCATCCAGGTTCAGCAAAGGCGATCTGTTGAACGAATGAGTGAGCCATAGCAGACAAAAAGTCTCAGCAGGCACGGGGAAAAGTGGAGAGGCAGGGGGCAATACCTCGTAGGTTCTAAGCAGAGAGGGTATCAACTTGTATACTTCGAGATAAGAGATGTTCTTGCCGATGCAGGCGCGGTGGCCGGCTCCGAACTGTAAAGGGGAATTGGTAAGCGAATGCCAACGATAAAAAAAATAAAAAAAGATCGTGCGGATTAGAAGGGGAAAATCTGCGCTGCGCAAGTTGCGTGGAAAGGAGGTACGGTTTTTGTGCGACCGAAAGGAAGACAACGAACAGTAAGCAAGCCCGCCTCCATTCTTCGGCGCTGTTCGTTATCACAATCTAGCCACCTTTCCGGCCTCCAGACCCCAGCATCTTCGCCGAAAACATCCTGATCCCGATGCACTACCCATGGACTCATCCCGACCACCGTCCCGCCCGTAAATCTTTGCCTACACACTGTCGCACCCTCAGGTGGCACGACGCGTTCCAGCGGCAACCCAAAAGGCGGGTGCAGACGTCCAGCTTCTTTGATGCACGCGTCGAGGTAGGGGAGTGAGCGCGCTTGTTTGAACGTGGTAGAAGTCCTGACTGAGGAAGGCGGGAGGGAGTCGAGCTCGGAGAGGAGGCGGGAAAGGGTAGCGGGGTGGGAGAGGAGGCTATAGATCGTGGTGCGGAGGAGGATGGCGGTTGTGTCGCTGCCGGCGGCTATGTTGGAGGTTGTCCACGCTGTGAGGGCCCTAGGTGGAGTAATTAGATTCAGTCCTTAGGGGGTTGGGGCACCCATAGTTAGATTGAGGGGTGGATGTGGATAAAGAGATACCAGGGCGGGATGGTCTTGTCTTTGGCTTGGGCTTCGAGGAAGCGCGAGAGGAAATCCCGAGAGTTGGTCGAGGACTCCTTGTTGTCAGAGGTGTCCGGCGCGCTTTTACGTTCTGCAATGCGCGCGAGCCCAAATCCGGCGATGGGGTTCATGCGGACGGCCTTTAGGCGTTGGAAGATGGGGTTTTTTGCCCAGAGGCGGTCAACCCAAGGGATCTGCGTGACCTACCACTTTGTCAGTACACAGGTCTTGAAGCGATCGCAGAGCGAAGACTCACGGGGGTCGTCTTTTGGAAGTAATGCCAAATCGATTCCATGATCCCATCGACATCTTCCGCTCTCTCCAGGAAGCCCAAGCGCTTTGAGAAGGTAAGCTCGCCCATGACGTCGAATGCAAACATCTGCAACCAGGTGCCTAAGTTACAGATGTCTCCAGTTTGCGCGAAGCGCTTGTCTAGCTGGGCGAAGAAGAAGGAAATGGTCGTGTCAACGTAGGGCTCAAAGGACATGAGATTGCTCATCGTGTAGATGCCCGCAATTGGTCTTTTGAGCATTCGGTGCAAATTCTCGTCCTGTGTCGTGAAGATGGTTTGTACTGGTTTGCCTTTGGCGTAGAATACGATGACATGGTAGAAGTCAGACTAAAGGTTATAATCAGAGAGACCGCTTCGTCTACCCTGGTGTTAAATTGGCGCCGTCCTTACCTTGGTGAACTTTCCAGTGAAGCTATATAGATTTGGGATCTCGGCCGGGTCGCCAACCGAGACCATGTTCGGTCCGAAGCGTACCAATTTTCCATACTTTCTATGCAGATCGATGTGTATGTCGTGCGCTCGGTTAGACAGAACCCATAATACGCGAGGAAGATTCGAAAACGCGGCGAGGAAGGGCCCCGGGATTTGCTGGAGGAGGATGTAAGAATAGAAAGACCAGAGAGAGACAATGAAGAGGCTGAGAACAAGGATAAAGAGGACATTGGATGGGAAGGCGTCGAGTACTCTATGAAGAGCAACGCTTGCAGCCATCTGCTTAATGACAGCAGACATTCATGAATGACGGACGATGGTTGATAGAAGGATACAACCAAGGGAACGTGCGACGGAAATGATCTATCTGCAGTGATTCATACAGACCCAGTTGTGCTTGTCTCCCCCATCACCATGTCCTCGGGCCCCAAGCATCCGAGGGCGGACCCGAGTTCCAAATCTTCATTTCAGCCCAGACCCACAAGGGGCAGAAGACTTCCTGTAGTACATATCACAAATAAATATAATAATGCAGGTTCAGTGATTGATTCAGTGATAAGGGGTAGGTTTGGCAAGTACAAGGAAGAGAATGAGGGGGGGGGGCGCATACCTTTTGCTCATGGAAAGACTGGGCTCTTGCACTCGTTGAGGGAGTCGCAGCGAAAAGGTGGATTACTGTTGTATACGCGATGAAATGGACTGATTCAAACAACTGAGAGAGAGAGAGAGCGCTGAGACTTCCGGAGGCAGGCCGCAGAATAATGGAGTGCGATGCAATACAGAATGAAGAAATAAGGCGCATCTGCTCCTCATTTGATCCAGTAAGTGTACGCCTGTTTAGGTACTACCGAGGGCCCTGTCATGCCACTTGCATCGATTCAAAATATCGACTTCACAACTACGAGTCTTCTTGGCGCATTTTGAGTTTCCAAAAAATCATCACGATTCGTAGCATTCTCAAGAACCAGCAAACCCCAGCAAGCATACGATAGCATTACGTAGAAAACAAGCTTTATGAATTGTAAATTAAATAAGAATACTTGGCAAAGCTGATCCAGCTCCGTCTTCGACTTTTTATTAGCGCTATTTATAGAAAATTGTAGAGAACGTACTTACCACTCTTATACCAGCTCACTTTATATTTTTGAAGCTTCTATATAGTCTAAATACGAATATAATAATATTACAATACTTCGGAATATCGTTAAGACGGCTACCAATAATTAGAGACCCTTTAAATCTCGTCATCGCCTCTCCTCTAAGCGGGTTTCTTTCGCGAATAAGTAAGGCGATATTACTACTACCACAGTCGAGCAGAAGAAGAAATAAGAGAAAATTCGAGTTACTCAGGTAAAGACTAAAGCTATAGTCGATAATCTATTTTATAATCTTCTTCGAGACTTAAAAAGAGATATATTCGTCTTTAAGGTCTTATAAAGAGAGACTTATTAGTATACTTATACTTTAAAACGATTAGATTAAGGCGAAGGTTATAGAGAAAGTAGAGGATTTTAATTAATATTACGTAGTATTTTATTATAACTACTCTATTATCTCTATAGTTAAATACTTTAGATCTCGTTTAAATATCTTAATTTCGTCGTTAAATATATAGCTTATAGTGCTCTATTTAAAATACTCTTATCGCATCTAAAGTAAAGGCTAGCGATATAGTTATTATATATCTAAGTTAGAGACAAAATACTAAGAAAAGCGTATATATTTATTAACTTTGATATTACGAATATTTAACTAAGATAGTAGACGATAGTAGCTATTATAAGAGTGATAAGTACGCTCTCTATAATTTTCTATGAATAGCGCTAATAAAAAGTCGGAGGCGGAGCTGAATCAGCTTTGCCAAGCATTCTTATTTAATTTGCAATTCATAACTCGGTTCTTCAGAACTATGGACCTACATGAAAGTTACAAACTCGACCAAAAGGCTCTTCCTGTGTAAATCATGCCTGACCCTTCCTGTCCTCTACTTGAACCGCCTCTCCTTCTCCATACAAACTCCATGAAATACAGGGATACTTCTACATCTGGTTGATGACTGATGAATGAGTGGATATAGTTGAGAACAGACCGGAAAGGACTCAGAGATCCCCGCCTTGCCCGCCCAAAAGCCTCAATTTACTCTTCTCTTTCCACCATTTTTGCCCTCGGATCTCGACACCTTTCAAAGCTTGCAAGTGTAGTATTGGATACATTGCGTTGCCGTTTCTTGTGTCTTTCCAAGGGAGTCGTTGTCCATTAATCGCCGTTGATGATGTAGGCCGAGATCTTTTCCGCGAGCATGTCTGTACAGAATGCATTCAACGATTAGTACCTCGTGCCATGCAGCAAGTGAAGGGAGTGGCAAAAGAAAGCTTCAAGAAATGAGGGTAAGTTGCTTACAAACTGCAGCCTGTGGGAGTCCTAATGCTGGCGTTAGACTTCAAACTCATAGCAATCTGGCCATGGACCATGCTTACCTGGAGGAAGGAACGGAAAAGCAGAAGCATCGACCACTCGCACTAAATGCGAAGGTAAGCTCCGAGACATTTTGTCGTTGTTGGAATCTGCTGCAGCTACTCACGGTTTTTGGTTCCATACACGCGGGCCCTCGAATCGACTACAGCCAGCTTATCATCCCGCTTACCCATCTTGCAAGTCGAACTAGGATGGTAGAGAGTGTTGAAAACCGATCTGATGTACTGAAGAATCTGATCATCGGTCGTAACATTTGGACCCGGGACATATTCCGGGCCAATAAGGACGCCCTTCATGACGGGCGCCGCCAGAATCTGTCGGGTACGCTTGAACCCACCAATAGCGGTCTCGATATCAGTATCCGCGGTCAGCCAATTCGGGTTAATCAGAGGTTGGTCGTGCATGCTGGGTGAGGATATCGAGATGTTTCCACGCGACAATGGCGCAACGCCGATTGCTAATAGTGTTGCATATTGAAACCCATCTTGCGGAGTCGCTGCGCCTGGAGCCTGGGCGTTCCCTGCGTAAGCCGGGAGTGTGAACCATTCTATCTCGGGCCAATCTGCCGGGAATGTAGAAAGTTCTAGAAAGAGGAAACCGCTCGATTGTCAGACCAGATTCCCAAAGCAAAGACAACGGGAATGGGTTTGAAAAGGTGAGACATACGTTGAAGAGCTTGCTTGGAAAAGTTGGAACGTATATCGAGTGGCAATTTTTCATAGCCCCCAAAGTCCCCACCTGGACTTGACAAAAGTCCATTCTGTTCGTTGTCAAACTCCTCAATTGCCTCTTGCATTGCGTGGCCATACAGGAGAGCTGAGTCTGTCTGGACGTTGACGCGGTAAGAAATGCCGAAGGAGATGTGGTCGTTCATGCCCTGGCCAACTCCTGGGCGGTCAGCAACAATGTCAATGCCGTGTTCTTTGAGCAGATCTGCAGGCCCAACTCCGGACACTTGCAAGAGCTGCGGAGACTGAAATGTGCCAGCGGACAGTATGACCTCTTTTGTCGCGGAAATGGTGTACGAGTTGTTTCCACTTGAGACTTGAACGCCCTTTGCCGTTTGGCCATCGAACAAGATCCTCTCGGCAAGAGTGTCGGTGTACACGACCAAATTCGTCCGACCTAGAAAAGGTCGTAAAAAGGCCGTTTCGGAAGAATCCCTATCTCCTGTCGTGTGATTGATTGTGGACACGAGCCAGGATGAGCCCATGAGTTTGCCGCTGGTAAATCCATTGATCGACGGAATGCCGACTTGCGGCATGGCTTTGGCGATCCATGTACTCCAGCCTTGGGCATAGTTTGCAAAGGTAACTTTAAGTGGACCCCCAGTCCCAAGGGTAGAAGTGTCATACTCTGGAGTCGAGTTTGCGATCCTTTTGCTTTCGTCCGGCGGCGTAAAATTTGTGCTTTTGTAGTAGAAGTCGGAAACATTCTCATAGGTCCACGAGGTGTCGCCAACATCGTCTGCCCATTTCTCGAATGCGCCTACCGTGGTTCGCGCGTAAGCCATGTAATTCAGAGCACTGCAGCCGCCAAGCTAGACTAATATCAGTGGATGAAAGTAAGATAGCCTATCACAAGATCCATACTGTCTTTCCACGTGCAAAATGCACGACTTGGTTGTTCATACCCTGCGGCTGAGTTAGTCATGGTTGTCCTGGTCGACTCTCAGGAGTCAAACTTACTGCCTGAGGGGTCGTTGTGAAGTCCCAATCTATAGGGCCAGTATCACTTGGATTTTTGCCATTGTAGAGTGTGTCGTCTATAGGAATCTGACTTGCATTCCCTGTCGCGATCTCGTAGAAGGTACCCGCTTCGATAACCGCTACTCGCACCGAAGGGTTTGCAGAAAGACGGTTTGCAACGACGAGGCCAGCGGTGCCGCCTCCAACAACCACATAGTCAAAGGTGTTTGACGCATGAGTCGTGTTGACACCCCTCCCCACAAAATCCCGTGGGCTCACGTGAGGGCTCCCGAAGACTGGGACGATGCTGCTCAAGCAACTTGCGTACAGATGCCATTTCAGGAGGGTGATAAAAGATCTGTGGTATGCCATTGATCGCATGATGTGGTAGGGAGTCTTGACTGAATAGATTGAGGATAAAGGGAATGTAAGAGAGCAATGAAAATGCTGTGGACATTCGGGGGCACACTTCTTATACAAAAAGCTGATGGCCCAGGCTGAGTCCATTTGATCGATGGAGAGTCAACATCGCTTCCTCCGAATCCGGTCTAAGACGATGAGACCGTGAGAGTGTGGCAGCCTACAAGGATGAGCGTAAGACTTTCACTTGAGACCCTTTGAAGGATGGCGGGATGCTCACGTCAGTCCACCATCTTCTGGAGACGGTTGAGAGAAGGCTGTTGGTTTCAATCAATGTTCATTCGGGCGATCCAACAGCCATCTGGATTATGGCACGGTACCGTGATATGAGGGACACACGAGATGTCGGAACACTCGGGATAAGCTGCTTTGCACCATACCACTGCAGGTACAGATCCAGGCAACCTTACCTGACTGCTCGGACAATTTCCGCCACATCTTCCATGCTGCAGCCGCTCTCGACCGTTCGGGAATTTCTCGCCCGTCATCGCGGTCTAAGGCAGCTCGTCCACATGCTTGCGGCGCTGACGATAGCATGAACAGGTCGCGGGAAGGAATTTGCGGCGCAACAGTTTAAGGGGCGGTAGCTGGCACACGAACAACCCGCCGCTGTAACTGAACATTAATGAAACTCCTGGTGTGTGGTGGTAGTTAGGGTCTTATTGGATTGCGGCGTCACGGGCGTGGCGACCTCCCCTTTGGTGGCTGGCTCTGGACCACTGCCTGTCTGCCGCTGAGTAGCAAAATTCCCTATCTCACTTGAGCAGCGTAAGCAAGTGGTCTTCATGTTCGCAAATGGACAGACAAAACATTGACCAAGTCTTCCATTAGCGATTTCGTCATCAAAATTCATGTTGACGCTAATGCTACCATTCATGCAGCCCAAGATCCTCGGCACGTGGCTCCCGTGGTACCTGCATAAGATAAATGATACGATTCAATGATAATAGATATCGGTCACATGGCATGGCAAGCAAGGCTCGGAAATATCCCTCGACTCTACTCGCATCTTACCGCGATTCGAAAAGCTACTTTAGACAAGGTGCTGAATGGTGCACCTTGTGCTTGTACTCAGGTTACGTTACTCTGTGCTTACACTCAGGTCCGTGCAAGGTGGAACCCAGAAGTGGGTCTCAGCCAACAGCCACACTAAGCATCCAGCTCCCGAATAATAAGTATTTCAGGATGACCAACTGCCGGGCTGAACAACAGCTCCCAACAGGAACAAGTCATACCCTTCAGCACTGATGGCGTCGCTGACGGAAATCGCGGAAGGCATACTGGCTAACGCCAAACGGCTTGACGAGTATACGGCGTCTAAGGGGCTGAGATACTCGACCTTCGAGAAAGACACCTTGAGTAACCTTCCCGATGATTTTGAAGATTGCCGCAAGTCTCTGGTCGACTCGACACAGGAGTTGAAGCAGCTTGCGCATGGACCAGTAGGGTTGCTGCTAGAAACGCTATTTTTGGTAAGTTTGCGATCAGGAAGGTTCATCCATTTTTGTCATGCTGCTGGTAAGGAAAGGTCGATCTGACAAGCCCGAAAGTTCAATGACCTCCTAAGCCTGCGATTTATCTACCACTACAACATCCCACAATACGTCCCTGCAGATGGCTCGATATCCTACGCCGACATAGCGCGCGCCAGTAAGCTGGACGAAGCCCTTCTTCGGCGCTTCATCCAAGCCGCAATGGTAAACAGAGTCTTCTCCGAGCCTCAAATCAATTACGTGCAACACACAGCCATCTCCAGACTCCTCAAAGAAGACCCCGAGGCCATGGACGCGGTTGGATTTCTCCTCGAAGACCTAGCTCCCGCGTCGACAAAGGTTCTCGCGGCGTTTGAGAAGTGGCCAGGATCTGGCGAGCCCAACGAAACTGGCTTTAATATTGAGAATGACACCGGCGATCCGTTCTACCTCGAACTGGCCAAAACACCGGAGCGATCCCGACGCTTTGGTGGAGGAATGCGGTTCATGACCCGTGGATCTCTGTACGACATCGGCCATCTGATCAACGGCTACGACTGGGCCGCTTTGGACAAAGCAGATGGACTCGTCGTCGACATCGGAGGTGGCCATGGTGGCGTCAGTCGGGCACTGGCCACCTCGACTATTAAACTGCAGCTCATTGTGCAGGATCTTCCAGGTACAGTCAAAGAGGGAGAAAGCCTGCTGCCAGAGAATCTGAAAGGGCGTGTCAAGTTCATGCCGCACGACTTTTTCACAGAGCAGCCTGTCAAAGGCGCAGATGTCTACTTCTTCCGTTTCATATTGCACAATTGGTCAGATAGCTACTGCACTAAAATCTTGAAGAATCTGCTACCTGCTATGAAAAATGGCTCGAAAGTGGTGATATATGAATTTCTCATCTCTGAGATGGCGAATACTGCTTGGTCACAGAAGCAGGGCCGGTGAGCTTTCTCTTTCAAGCTGCTTTCTGGGCGTACTGTTAAGGCTACTCTGACAATGCTCCTTAGGAATCTTGACATGATCGGAGCAACTGGTTGGAATTCGTTAGAACGTACGACGAGCGATTGGGAGAATCTTTTTGCAAGTGTCGATCCGAGATATCGCTTCCTCGGGGCCCGGACTCCGGAAAATAGTTCAGTATCATTGATCGAGGCGGTGTATAGGCAGCTGGACTAACTTTCCCTTTGTTCACTGGGATATCCCATCAATGAGGCGAGATTCGATAACAAGACATCGCGATATCAAGTTCTGAAACCTTGTTAATATCAGATCGCCGAAAGGTTGTACGTATGGTCGATATATGGTGCACGCCCTGTCTGATGTAAGCTACGCAAAACGAAACGGTCTGTGCTGGATTTATGCGCCGAGATTAGAGCAGATTCTGTGAGGGTCGTTCGAAGTACATACACAGCTTATTAACCAAACATTGCCATACTGATCGAGAACTCCGGCCTGCAAATTTGAGCAATTGACTTTCAAAGCCCATCGTAGCCGCAAGTCGTTGCGACAAAGGCTAGAGCGTCTAGAGAGTATGTCATGACAGTGCGACAGGTATGACGAGTGGAAGATGGAGGATAGTATTCATGTAGCCGAGCCGAAGACCGTTTGAGCGGCCAATACGGGCTGATTGAAGCCAGCACCTGAACCAAGCCTGAAAACGAGCTGGTAGCTTACCCATGTCCCTGTATTGGTACCGATCTTTAGGGTGGTGAACAGACCAGATCCTACGGCCATCAGAATGGCAAAGAGGAAGATGACTGGAGTGTTGTAGCCATATTGAGTGGTACGTCCAGCAGAAACGCCGAGGCCAAGGATCTGGCTGAGGATGAGAGGCAGACATCTGATTCCCGAGCCGGTAGCAGAGGCTCCTCCGATGGCCTGAAACCATTTGGGGATGCAGTAGGATGTAGTAGACGAAGAGAAAGACGGCGCCGCCCGAGGAGATTCCAAAGCACGTGCCGGCCGTGATGCTACGTTGCATCAAATTCCGAGGGGACACTGTGGCATCCAGGGCCCCTTTCCAAATCTGGATAGCGACAAAGGATATGATCAAGATGCCAAAGAAAACGAACGATGCAACGATCTTGCCGTTGGACCAGGGATATTTGATCCGCCCTGTTGTGGCGCGAGCAACAAAGATAAGCAAGGAAGGTGCGATAGCGAGAGTGCAGATGACTGTGTCGAGCGGATTGGCATGGCCACGATGGTAGAGAGGGCAAGTTACGGAGTACTCGGGTCCCTCCAGTAAATCCGTTCGGCTCGCGGGTGAGAGAAAAGCGAGGCTGCACACCCAAAATCTGCATTCTTCGATCAGCCACTACTACCACAACTTCCAACGACGACAGGTCCTATCAAGAGTCTATACGACTAACTCGCTGATTAAGAGACAATCGCAGAAAATAGTAACTTTAACCGCAATTATTTAATTTGTGAACGTGAGGTTCTTTGAAGTATGTACAGAGTAAGATATTGATAGAAATTATTCCAAATGATTCAGGTAAAGTAAGGTAGTAAGGTAGAGTACTCGTAAGGTGGTAAGATTAGCGAGAGCCGGTAAAGCCGATGAGGCCCGTCACCCGGTAAAGCCGCGTAGCAGACCAATTTCTGACCACATGCGGCAGAAAATGGTCAGAAAATGGTGGGAAAGAGTGGTCAGAAAATGGTGCGAGAAAGAGTGGTCAGAAAACAGTCAAAACAAAGAGTCGGGAAACTCCACGGAACTACTCTTGGAAAATGGTCCGAGGTCAGAAAACCATCCAAAAAAAAGGGTCAGAAAATGGTCTGAAACAAAGGTCAGCCGGGCCGAATATTCTTCCATTGCCTGCAAGCAGACTTTACTTGGATACAACTTTCGACAAATACACAAGCATATCCATTGAGCAGAAACTCTGCCTGTTTCTCTGCTGCGACATTCTCCCTGACCTTCATTCACATTCATACATACCACCACCCACCCCCACGATAAGAAAAACAAAGACAACATGCCTTCGGCATTCAGCCAGGCATTTCCTCCAGCGCCAACCTTCACTGAGAAGAATGTCGGCAGTCTCAAGGGCAAGGTAGGCATTGCTCCTGGCGTTCAAGCTAGAACGTCGTTAACCTCCCTCGCAGGTCATCATCGTCACTGGTTCAGCATCAGGAGTGGGATACGAGCTCGCCAAGCTACTCTATGGTCAAGGCGGCAACATCTACATCGCCGCCCGCTCATCGGAGAAGGTCGATCGCGCCATCGAGAGCATCAAGGCCAGTGTGCCTTCTAGCAAAGGCCATCTGGCGCCCTTGATCCTTGACCTGGCCGACTTTCCCACTATCAAGAACGCGGTCGACGGATTTCTCCAGAAAGAGAATCGCTTAGATGTCTTGGTTCATAATGCCGGCTTGATGACCCCGCCGGCTGGCAGCAAGAGCAAGCTAGTGAGTGCCCTTGCAATGTTTTCTGGCGAACTCGAGCGCTAACGTTTGGCACCGAACAGGGCTACGATCTCGAGATGGCGACCAACTGCATGGGCCCCTTCATCTTGAACCATCTCCTGGAGTCAATCTTGACCCGCACCGCGCACGCAGAGTCAATTCCCGACCACGTGCGAGTCGTCTGGGTTTCCTCAATGATAGCAGCTTTCGTGCCACCTGGTGGTATACAATTCGATGAGAAGAGCGGCAGTCCCAAGGTCCTGGCGAACACGATGCATAACTACATGCAGAGCAAGGTCGGTAACGTGTTCCTTGCGTCAGAGGCTGCGAAGCGCTTGGGTGGCGACGGTGTCATCAGCATGGTTGGTTGACCCTCTTTCCTCTCTGATCCTGTGTACGGACGCGATTGCTAAACTTGAGACAGAGCGTAAACCCAGGCCTAATGAAGACCGAGCTGCAGCGCCATATGCCCAGGGTGCAAAGCATCATCATGGTATGTCTTCTCCTCCAACCCAGGTTGTGCCAAACACCTATCATAGCTCAGATTTTTCTGCTTTCTGTCACACCTCTCCCGCACCTCTCCCACTAACTCATCTCCTCTTCAGGGCATCCTCTTCAAACCTCCCCTCTTCGGCGCCTACAGCGAGCTCTTCGCGGCCCTTTCGCCCCAAGTCAAGGCCGAGCACAACGGCGGCTTTGTTGTTCCCTGGGGCCGCTTCGGAGACATCCCCGACCACATCGAAGAGGGACTCAAGCCACGCGCGGAGGGAGGTACGGGGACAGCGGATCAATTTTGGAACTGGTGCGAGAGAGAGACAAAGCCTTATGTGTGAGGTGCGATGGAAGGGCAAGTAAGAGTAGGCGTGATTGCTATGGAGGAGCAGAAGCCCGATGTGCAAGGTTTGGCAGATGAGCGATTGCGAGTGTATACCTAAGGTCCTAAAGTAAGAGCTGAACTCGATACCGTCATACTTTACTTTAATTTAGTACTCAACAGCAAGCGCCTTGACGCCGCCGGCTTCTACTCCGTGACCCGTGTAAACCTGGTCCTGGTGCCCGAGCGTTAACTTAGCTCAATGGATGGTCCGCCCCAACCTTTGCGACCCTTACCACCACCACCACAGAGCACCACTGCAGCGTAGCAAGTCACAAATAGCATGCCTGAGTAGTCTCGTTGATTTACGCTCTAACAAATAGTGGCCTGTTGAATCGACTCGATCCATCCGCCTTGAAGCCTTTTCCTTTCCTCTCCAATCATAAACGCCCCCCCGCCCCCCCCCGCCCCAAATCCAATTCTTCCCCCCTTCCTCTGTCTTTGCAAAAGGCCAATGACCCGACGGTGTGAGAACAGACTCGTTTTAAAACCGCGACTTTTGCAATTGAGAAAAAAAATAAAGGTCTATGTATGGCACCTGGATTGCGATAATGAAACCTGCTCTGACTCTGGCATTATTCCTACGTCCCACGTCAGGGAGCGGGATCTCTTATCTTGGCAATAATGGTAGTAGATTGATTGTCTCGGCAGAACATGAAGATGTTGTTTACGATCTCACTTTGTGCTACAAATTTTCAGATCTGCTTCAGAAGAGGGACTGCGATATTTAGAGTGGCTTTTTTTTTGAGTAGATCGCTTTATCGTTGAGTTGTGCCGTGATGACAACAACGCGCCTAGCCTCTATTCCTGGCGCACAATCTTCATGTTAACAGCCGACTTTGACTCAAAGAGCATCTTGATGATGTTCGTCACCATCTGCGGCTGCACATCTTCGAGAATCAACGTGCTGCCATGCTTTTCCTGCTCCACTTCCACGCCCGTCATCGCATCGTCGTTCTTCCGCGCAGGCGAAGGCAACGGTGTCATATCCCATCGCGGTCCCAGATCAAGTGTCTGATCGTCCAACTGCAGAAGGTTGTCGTTTTGATTGAAGAAGGTGCCCGGGGTGCTGCTGAATAAGTCGTTGCCGTCTGGGGGATTAGGTAGGTTTGCAGGGAATTCATTCTCTGTAAAACGGAAAATTCCTGACGGGGCAGAGGGAGATACGTTCTGCGAAGAGAAGTAACACCCTGGTGTGGTGAGTGATAAGGCTGTGTGTGAGGGGAAATTAGATCCTGATGTGGTATGGGAAGGAGCCGAACGCGAGGGGATGTCGGAGCCGAAATCTACATCTTGATTACCTGCTTCGTTGTCATCTGAGAGGCTGTCTGTGAATTCGGAGCTTTCCATGTCGACCTCTAAAGGAGACGAGGCAGGCGCGGTACTATCATTAAAGGCCGTTTGAGGTGTAGAGAGATCAGATTGTTGACGTTTTCTGTTTATGGTGACAAATCTGTATTGTAGGTATGAATGTTAGATAACTTCAAGGATGTATGTCTTCTCGTCTGACCTGTTTTTCAACTCAGTGGCCGATCGTCTGGGGAATTCCTTTTCGCCTATGGTCTTCCAAACGCGTCCGTAAGACGCCACAGCTGCAAACAGCCGGTTGTCATCTTCGGACACCCACTCGCTATGATTGAGGGTTGGATCTAAAGAATGATTCCACCGCTTTGCACATTCTAAGTCGATTGTTGGTGAAAGTGCTTGATGTTCTATCCAGAGAAATACCTACGGTCTGCATTGCGAGTCTCTACGCTCTGAGCAACGTGTGTCCAGCTGTGTATTTAATCGTGAGCTATATCTACGTCATACCGTCTCATTCATGAGGACTTACCGATATCCAAATTTCTTGACAGCACTTTTCAATTTTTGATCTTCGGCATTGCTCCAGACGCCTTTCTTTATGTGCCCGGGTATTTTACTCCACCGCTTGCGGCAATCCTTGTTTGTTCGACCAGGAAGCTTTGCTGCTATGCGATTCCAATCGTTAAGGCTTCCCTGGCTCACTGCAAAGACCTCGCCATCAGTCCCTGACATCAAGAGAAGAACTCCCCGGCAATATACTTACTCTGAAATGCTGCTTCCTGTCGGAGTACCTGGTCCTCTTCTTCTGTCCACCATCTACGGACCCGAGATGTAGTAGAGCTCATCTGATCATCGTCCACCGTGAACAAACAGCTGAACACAGTTGAGATTGACCAGCCGGTCTGGGAAAGTCTACATTGCCAGACAGTAGTCTACATGCTACATTGTAGATGCAACGTTCTGGCCGGCCGGATGTGAAGCCGAGATAGAAGCCTTCTCGTAGTGGTAAGTAGGACCGATGGTACGGTCGATTTAAGGGGTGAAACATGGGGCGGTGAGGAAGAATCAGGGTGAACTCGCATGACGAAGAATTGCGAAGGATGTGATATCGTCCGACTATTGCTTATCTTTCTTGGGGATTGCTTTCCAATTGTCAGCCCGCTCCGTTGGCGTGGGCGTGTGCATGCGTGTATGTGTGTGCCTATGCGGGGGAGCGCCCCTCTAGCCATGTGGTCTAGATTTGGGACTCGGCCTTTCGGCTTTGTTTGGTCAAGTACAAAGTGCCTGAAATAAATGTGTAGATTTGAGGGAAGCGGTGTCTAATCTTGCTTGTATCAGATACATTCGCTGTTCTAGATCTCTATTGTCTATCGCAACCTTAAAGGGATAGCAGTAGCATTCGTCGAAAAGAACCGGATAACTGTAAGAGAGATGGGTCGCCTTCGTTCTCGCTATTATCGATTTAACGCTCGATCTGACGCGTTCTGTTGTTCGATATTTCGTTCGTTGAGTACGTAATCGAAACGACTATCGATGTTGTAATCATCGATCGTAGTCACGCTCACTGAGAGCTAAGGGCAGAGGGTTCGTAGCCAGGGACCATGTACAGGTGAATCCCGGAGCTGGCCTCGGTTGGCTAGTAGCACGAAAGGGAGGGCGGTGTGTCCGTCCGCGAAGTTCCCAATGAACTGATTTCACGGCATACCCAGCGATAGGAAGTAAGAGCTAGATGATGACATGCATGTAGGCATCATGGAGGGACGAAAGAGAGGGGACAGGCATAAAGTAGGGACGATGAGTGCAATGGTAACATCATGAGGGGCAATGCATGCATGTCAGCAACATTAGATGCACTCGAGTCCGGTGCTCCTAAAGGAGTGACCGGCACGAATCACGATGCACGGCTGAAATCGAATCTTTACGGGAGCGGCAATGTAAAGTCCTTTACCGGGTTACAGTTGAGCAGGGGTGAAAACAAGTTTAGTGGGGTGAAGCTAGCATATGCCGAATTTTCACCTCTAAAATTTTCATAGCATATGCTAAACGTATTCGTTTCATCTAAATAGTATTAGACTAAGTCGAATAAACTATAGCTACTTTACTAAGCTATTAAATATATTAAGTATATATTATTTAAATATATATTATAAGTTTATATTTATAAATTAAATTTATAGAAAATAATAGATAAGTTTTTAATAAGTAATATTTTAATTTCTTATCTTTAAATAATTATATAATTAAATTATATAGTTAAAAAAGCTTAATCTCGAAAGTATCTACGCTTAATAGTTAGATATCTCTATTTAAACTTAGATAAAGTATTATAAAGTTATCGTAGAGCTCTTATAGAGACTACTACTAATATTATATTATTAAATTTATTTTTATAGATAAAATCGATATTTATTAAGAGCTTTCTTAATCTTATAAAAGCTAAGTTTTACTAGAATTAGATTTTAAAGTAATACTTTTTATATTAAAAGAATTCATTTTATCGAAAGCTAGTTTATTAAATCTATTAGAACTAGTATAAATATAATATTAATATAAGTAAAATAGAATAAGAATAATAAGACTATCGAATTATATAAGTAAAAAGAAGATATAATATAATAGAAGATATCTTCGTTAAGACTCGCTAGACTATAGAACTAAGTAATATATTAAGAATACGCTTATAATACTATCTCTCTCTCTTAAATAGTTATAATCTCTATAGCTAATAGATTAAAAATATAGATTTATTACTTATCTTATATTTTTAAATAACTATAATCTCTATAAGTCTTAATTAAAGAAGCTTTATCGAGATATAGCGATAGTAATTTAAGTCTTAGCGATTTTCTAAAGAATATCGAATAATTTTAATTCGTAAAAATGCGATATTCGAGATATTATCGAGTTATATACTAGTTTTAACTATACTATATCTATTATACTCATATTATTCTTTAGAGATCTCGAAGATATAATAAAATCTTATCTACGTATTAGTAAGATTCTTTAAATTCTTCTTCTTATCTAATCTTCTTACTATAATCCTTCGATAAAATTAAAGAAATCTTAACGTATATCTTTATCTTTAATATCTTTTAGTAGTTTAATCTAGAAGCTATACTATAGATTTATTTTATATCTCTTATACTCTTATTATTAAATTTACTTTAAGAGAAATAGAGAAAGAATTAAATATGTTAAATGCTATTTAATAGTAGACTTTATTATATATATTATCGATATACTTAGAGAAGAGATCGAATCGTAATCGTTTTAGAATTATTTTCGTCGCTATTATAGTAAGCTTACTATATTGTTAAGGAATCATTATGGTTTGACTCATATATGTGTGTGGTGTAAAAGATGTTGATTATTCTATGTGGTCTGCAGGCACATATGTGTGCGGCGCCAAGCCTACGCTAGTGGCCCTATGAGTGTCCCTGAGGCATCTCATGACAATTGCCCACAAAAAACAGAGAAATGCCATGTCCTCATGGCAAGAAGTATGCATGCATGAATGTCGGAAAGGAGTGGAGATGCCGGGCCAATTAGTAGTGTGAATCCCACAATATCTCCTGCCGCAGTGATATCTTTCGAACAATGAAATGGCTGTCGAAACAAGACATTGGACGGTTTCAATTCGTTCAAATATGCATCGTCCGATAGGTGACCCTTGCCTGCAGAGGTCCAATTGGCTGTGATCGACGCAGTAGATCCTTCTCTTGTGTGCTCATTGCAGTGATGTACCACATCAGTGCAGTGGGGATGAGAGGCCAAATTGCAGTGTCGTTCTCCGCATCGATATCGTAGTGATTAGAATGCCGTGGGATCGTGGAGAGGTGAGCCGTGTTCTTGATGCTGAAGGCCTTGCTGCCGCTTGATTTCTCCGCCGTGTTCTCCGCAGTATTCTCCGCATTTGCCTGTTGTAGTTCCACCTCTTGTAGAGTATCAGACTGAGTGGCTTGCTGAGTGGCTGACTGAGTGGATGACTGAGTGGCTTGCTGAGTAGCTGACTGAGTGACTGGCTGTAGAGACCTTCTCGTATATTGCTGGCGAGTCTTCTGATTCCGGTGCTTCTTCTTCTGCTGTGTTGCACGTACGAATGGACACTCCGGTGATCGAGTAGCGTGGAAATCGAATGGATTGTCACTATCCCAGTCACAAGGATCAAGACCGCATAGTGAGCACACCGTTAGATCCGGGGATGGAAAAGTAGGGTCGAATTCTCGATGAAAGCCAGCACGGGCTACGGTAGAGGCACTTGGACACACGTGTGGCCATGACGTGAATGAGGCGAGTCTCTCAGCGTATGAATTCATGATATCGATATCGATAGGCCTATCAAAAGGATCGATGTGGGCGTGGGTTTTGGTCAAATGATACTCGATGACCAACGAGTGTATGTGAGGGCCGGCTTGGAGCGTCACACTATTAGGTGTTGATGTGGGCTTTGCGTAAACGTGTGGTGTAGACGTGGCTCGTAGAGACGTCTACTACATCGTAGGATCAAGTGGAATTAGATCTTAAGGTGTTGCTACCAATTGTTAAGGAATCATTATGGTTTGACTCATATATGTGTGTGGTGTAAAAGATGTTGATTATTCTATGTGGTCTGCAGGCACATATGTGTGCGGCGCCAAGCCTACGCTAGTGGCCCTATGAGTGTCCCTGAGGCATCTCATGACATATATTATCGATATACTTAGTAAAGAGATTATATATTTACTATCTTTATAGTAGACTTACTATATATAGAATTTATAATAATTTCTTTCTACTATTAATTCGCTAGTTCTAGTCGTATAAATAATCTCTATATCTTATTTATTTCTTACCTATAATCTTAATAAAGCCGTTTCGCTATTATATTATACTCTTTAAAATTAAGTTATTTATATAGTAGACTTATTTAGAAATACGATAACTTAATTTAATATCTTACTAAAGTCTCTATTAGCGTATTTCTTTAAATTCGTTTATTAATTCGAATAAAATATATATAATTATATTTCTCTTCGTCGAATATAGAAAAAAGTCTTATTATAATATTAAAATTAATATAGATATAATACTAGTATAAATGAGATAGAATAAGAATAATAAAGCTATCGAATTATATAAATAAAAAGAAGATATAATATAATAGAAGATATCTTTATTAAGACTCGCTAGACTATAGAGCTAAGTAGTATATTAAGAATACGCTCGTAATAAAATCTATTACTAGAAAATTCTATCTTTAAAAAAATTAATATTCTTTATTATTATTTCTCGATATCTTATTAATAATTAAACTTAGCTCGATAAAAAGAGAATTCTATTTATTAATTTTAATACTATATAGAGATTCTAGAAATTTAATATATTTAACTTTCTTTAATTTAATTTAATTTTTAATATAGAATTCGAAAGTAATAAGAAGAAAGATAAAGATCGAGATTAATAAGAAGATTAAGATCTTTATATAAGACTTATAAATAATAATAAAAAAAGACTAATAAATCTTCTTTCTTTATTTTAATAAAAATTAAAAATAAAGATTTTATTATTACGGCGAGAAAATTAGATTATTTAAAAAAAAAAACTTTTAAGAGAGATTTTTAAGACTTTTTAAGTGGGGGTTAAAATTCTTAGAAGTAGAGATATTTTTTAAATTTAAGTTAAGTTATTTTAACTTACTATATAAGAAAGTAATTTTTATTAATATAATAATAAACTTTATATATAAAGATAATAAATACTTCTATTAAAATATTTATAAATTTAAGATCGTAATTTTAGAAGAGAGAATAGATAAGAGACCTCTCTAAATAAGTAGTCTTCGAAAGAGAGATCGAGTTAATATTCTAAGATCGATTCTATTAAATATATAAATCTTAATTATAAAGAACGTTAGTAGATAGATCGTAAGTTTATTTAATTAATTTTAATAATCTAATAATAATTCTTATTAAGAACTTATTTATAAAGTTTGAAATTTTTTATTAAAAAAGCTTAAAATTAAAAGATAAGTAAAATTATTAATTTTATTAGAATAGATTTTCTAACTTTATCGATTATAAATAATTATATTCTATTTTTAAAAAAGATATAGAAAGAAATAAAAAGAAAAGTTTATCGAAAAGAAAAGAAGATATTAGAAATAAAATATAAATTTTCTTTAAGAAAAGAAAAGTTATTTAGAAAAGTAAGGAAAATTAAATAGTTTTTATAGCGATTCTTTCTTTTAGAAAGATTCTTTTTTAAAAAAAAATTAAGTTAGTTTCTTAATAATAAAATAAAGAACTTAATTAGAATATCGCTTAAGTTGAAATAAAGATATTAATAATTATTATTTAGCTAAGTAATAATAATAACTAATTATTTTATAAATAAGAAATTAATAATAAACTTCGAGATTTATATAATAGATATTATATTAATAGTACAAAATTTATTAAAAAAAATAGAAGATTTAAATAAATTTCAAAATATAAAAAATAATAGTTAAAAAAGTAATAATTTTATATATTAATTAATTTGAAAAACTTCGATAAGAAAAATATAGAGATTATATTTTATTAGCTAAGTATTTTTATTAATAATATCTATTAAAACTTATATTATATCTTTATTATAAATCGTGTAGAAAATATAGAATTAAATAAATAATATTTTAATATTTTAAATTTTTATAATATTAATAATTAAAATAAGTAAAATAGTTAATATTAATACTTTAAAGTAAAGTTTAAATAAAGTATTATAATCTTTTTTATTAAGTTTAAAGAAATCGATTATATATAAAATTATTATAAAATTATTATATATAACATTATTAAAATAAGAATAAATAAAAATATTTTAGATTTATATTAATTATTTAGAAAATATTTTAATATATTAGATAATATATTTAGAATATATAATAAGATTACTAAATTAAATACTAAGATATTTAATTTTAATTTTAATATAAAAGTAATAAATAAAAAAAATCGTTTAAGAATTTCTATATATGATTCTTTATAATTATTACTTTTTTAAGATTTACTAATATTTATAAAATATTTAACTTAAAACGATTAATTTCTATATATCTAAAATTTTAAATTTTAAAATAATCTTTTAATATTTTTTAAGAATTAATTATTTTTTTATAAGTATTGAATATAAACTTTCGAGTTATTAATAATATATTAGATTTAAAGAGTAAAAAGAAGATTAATAAAATTAATAATAGTTATAAAAAGTTTACTTTCTTAAATAATTCATATAACTTATTCTTTATTAAAAGAAATAATAATATTATTATTAAAAATTCTTATATATAAAAATATAAGTATTTTAAACTATTAATAAATAGATTTAGAAAGAAAATAAATATTTAAAATATTTAAAAATTAAATATTATTTTAGCGATAATAATACTCTATATAGAAATATAGATTTATTAATAAAAGAATAGATTAATATAATTTTAAAAGTCGTTACCGTAAAAAAGAATATTCTTATTAAATTATTATAAAAATTTAAAATTTAAAAATTTTAATTAAGTCGTTATTAGAAATTTAAAAATTTTATATATAAAGATTAAAGAGTTAAAAAAAGAAAGAATACTCGCTTTTATCTCTCTTTTCGCGTATATTAATATTATTAAAATCTCTTTATAGAATAAATATTAATTAAACTTTTATAAAAAAAATATATTAATAAAATAGATTAAGATTAATTATCTATTGAATATCGAAGCTTTTATATTAAGTTTTATAAATATATCTTTTATTAAAATAAATAAGCTACTTAAAATAATATTATTATAATTTTATAAATTATAAGTAAAGGCCTATGAATTAAATTTATGGAGTTGAATTTTTCTAAGTTAAATCGAATTTTAGCCCTAGCCCTAAGTCAAATCGAACTTTAATCGCTTACTATGCGTTTTTAACCTACTTTTATTACTATAAAATTAATTTAATATATATAGTATATAGATATATATATATGAAGAGAGGCGCGCTAAGATCTAATTAGAAAGATATATTAAATGTAAAGAATTAATTCGTAATAATTACTTATAAAAAATAGAGAAAGACTATATTCTTATAATAAGAAGTATCGAAATATCGAAAAGAAATGGAGATAACGTGCTAATTAGTGGTGTGAATCCTATAATATCTTCTATCGCAGTGAAATTTTTCGAATAATGAAATAGCTGTAGATATCGAACGGTTTTAATTCGTTCAAATATGCATCGTTCCGGAGTAATAATTTGATGTGGAACCGTGGAGAGTATATAACGTGGGATCTTGGAGAGCTAAGCCGTGTTCTTGACGATGGTAGCCTTGTTACCGCTTGGTTTCTCCGCAGTATTCTCCATAGTATTCTCCGCAGTGTTCTCCGCATTTGCCTATTATAGTTCCTTCTCTTACTTCTTAATATAGTGGGGATAATAAGCTAAGTTATAGTGGTGTTCTCCGCTTACTGAGTAATAATTTAATGTGGAACCGTGGAGAGCATATAACGTGGGATCTTGGAGAGCTGAGCCGTGTTCTTGATGCTGGGGGCCTTATTGCCGCTTGGTTTCTCCGTAGTGTTCTCCATAGTGTTCTCCGCAGTGTTCTCCGCATTTGCCTGTTGTAGTTCCTCCTCTTACTCCTTAATGTAGTGGGGATGACAGGCTAAGTTGTAGTGGTGTTCTCCGCTTGCTGAGTGATAATTTGATGTGGAACCGTGGAGAGCATATGACGTGGGATCTTGGAGAGCTGAGCCGTGTTCTTGGTGCTAGGGGCCTTGTTACCGCTTGGTTTCTCCGTAGTGTTCTCCGCATTCGCCTGCTGTATTGACTTCTCTTGTACTGGCTGAGTGGATTGGTGTGAGACCGTGGAGAGTAGGCCTGTTGTGTTACTGCTGCTGATGACTGTCTTCGCAATGTTCTCCGTAGTGTTCTCCGCATTCGCCTGTTATAGATCCTTCTCTTATTCAACTGAGTGCGAGGGTACCGAGGGTAAATGTGTTCATATTGGTGGAATTGGTAGAATTGGTAGAGTAATAAAAGAATAATAGTTACACAAACAGGTGGAAGGATTATTATCCGATCCCGGACGCGTTTGATATGACTACAATATTTGAATGTTAGTTTAATCTATCTATTGCTAACTTAGGAGAAGTATATAAGGGAGGACGTATCCGTTCGAGCTCTTTTTGAGGGCCTTTCAACGCGTTTATAAGTAGTAGTAGGTAGCGATTACTAGCAGTAGCGGATTCGTTAAGGGGTGGCCTGAGGGCGTTAGTAGGGGCTC